CAAAGCTATGGAAACATATCTTTCAGCGCGAAAATGTATAATGTATATTCAGCTATGTCATTGTATCCCAACTGCGTAGATCGATGCTCTTGTTGTTGATCACAGGGTTATCTGGTCCAAACTCGATTATTTACAGACCTCAGCAATACAGCTGGAAACATATTACTGATTGTGGCGTTAAACAAAAAACAAACTTTTAGCCATGCATCCTTGTAGAAAACAGCAGCAAGTCTAGCATCGCGCCACAGTCTGTACGGAGTCTGTGATGTTCTCCTGGCAGGAGCATGTCCGGTTGGGAACAGTAATGTTCCCCATGTGTCCCTCAACACGTTGAAGTCATATGTTTCTTGTTTCAATTTAAGCTATTGTTTTAAATCTACACATGTAGAGACACACATTTCGTCTTTGCATTCTACATACGAATACTCATAGATTTTACGTCAGGCGCGTTGGAGTGACCTTCTGGTGGAGCGTTCGTTCGTCACACCGGATTCCGGGTTCAGTTCCCCGCCTGGGTGTAATATGTGAAGCCCTTGTCTGGTGTCCCCCGTAGTAATATTGCTGGAATTTTGTTAATAGCTGCGTAAACCATACTCATTCACTGGGAGGACTCGACTATTTTCGACAATTTGATCATATTCCTGCTGGCATATTACATTCAAAAAAGGTCTCAGCCAGTTACGTTTATTCCCTTGTTATCGACATACAAGGGTACCAGGACACCACCTGACTTCCTTGATGCCATCGGACATTTGATTAAGCTCGGTTGAGACTCTTCTTATGTGAAATCTATGTGCTGAGTTGAATCAGTGGTTTAGAAATAAATGATAAAAGACATCGAAGAATGATGAATTTCATATACATGGATTTGCAAACAAATGCATATAAAATGCAATAAAATGATATGTAGTGCTAATCAATTGTGTTGCGTTCTCTTTCTATGTCTGTAACGAGCATGGACTATCCCATTCTTCACTAATAGGTGATAGGTGTGTGCAGTGGTCTGTGACCTTATGTGTATTGGGGTGTGTAACAACTGGCATGTGTAACAAAATGGGAGGATACCGTTTTTTTGTTGGGAGACGACACGACAATAAAAATTACACGGGGTACCTCCCAATTAAAAAGTCTCTTAACACACGGATGGCACGTGAAGGTTATGGTTAGGTCGGAAAACTCACCACAGGCTGATGAGGGTGTTTATAATTCAATTACTGTCATTTCAAAGTAATGGACCTTTCACCGGCACACGTACCACAGGTCATGTAAAAATGCAGCTGCCTGGCGGTACACCCATCAGAGTGGCATTCCAGCATGACATGACATTCCAGCATGACACGATGACATTCCAGCATGACACAATGACATTCCAGCACGACACAATGACATAACAGCATGACATGATGACATTACAGCATGACATGATGACATTCCTGCACGAGACAATGACATTACAGCATAACATGACCTTTCAGCATGACGCAATGACATTACAGCATGACATGATGACATTCCTGCATGAGACAATGACATTATACAATTATAGACTCTTTTAGAGGTCGATATCGGTTTTTATTGACCTGAGTAAAACAATATCGACCGAGCTTGCGAGGTCGATATTGTTTTTCTCAGGTCAATAAAAACCGATATCGACCTCTACAAGAGTCTATAATTGTTTTATTATATAATGAAAGAGAAACGGGTTTTAACATAAACTTTTAATGCACACACCGTGCCATCTATCCGAGTGATCTGATTGGCTGAAAAGCGGGGGAAGCCCTTCGTACGGGATTCCTTGTCTATTTTTAGTAACCCAAGTCAATATCGTAATTTATCAGAAAACTCAAGTCAATATCGTGTTTTGTAGTCAATCATGTGATGGTATTTTGACCAATCGTGGTACAGGAAAAAATACTACCTATATAATAATACAGCATAACAGGCCTTCCAGCATGACACAATGACATTACAGCATGACAAGACCTTCCAGCAAGAGAAAATGATATTACAGCATGACACGACATTCACGGGTCATGACATGATGACATTCCTGAATGACACAATGGCATTACAGCATGACACGATGACATTACAGCTTGACACGACCTTCCAGCATGACACAATGACATTCCAGCATGACACGATGACATTCCAGCATAAGAAAATGATATTACAGCATGACATGACCTTACAGCATGACACGACATTGTAGCATGAGACAATGACATTCAGCATGACATAATGACATTCCAGCATGACACGATGACATTCCAGCATGAGACAATGACATTACAGCATGACATGACATTCCTGCATGAGACAATGACATTACAGCATGAGACAATGACATTATACCATGACATCCAGCATGACACAACTGCATTCCGACATGACACAGTGGCATTCCAGCTTGTAAAACGGCATTCCTGCATGACACAACATTCCAACAGGACACGATGGCATTCCAGTGTGACACGACATTCCAGCATGACATAATGACATCCCAGCACAGGAGCTAAGAAAAATAACACAACATGAAACTAGACAAAGAATATTTTATTATAGAAATGTAATACTCAATATCATTCACATGGAATATAGATATGGTAACAAGATAATAACCAGTACAAACATCTAGAAAAAGTTAAAATATGATCATGTATATGTTACAAAGATCTCTAATGACAGGCAGCTTGAAGCAATACGCAGTTGACTAGTGTGTAAGCTATACTGGCTAACGAAGGTTTAATGAAATACCATCCTGCACATGTGGAACATGAGTCTATATGCTTTAGCTGGAAATTAATGAAAACATGCCAATTACAATTTCAGGAAAAAACCTGACACATCAATCCTATGTAACAGAAAAACAGATCCTTCAGGATAAAGACCCTTCAGCTAGTTACCAAGAACATGCTCAATGCACATCAAAAGATGTTAAGCACACCGAATTCACTACAGTAATAGTGAAGGATAGAATTATCGTTAACTTATTTTGAGTAGTATAAGACAGGAGGAGACATTTTCAGAATCAATTTCAACCTCTGTATTTTTCTTGAGACAAAATGGACATTAAACTATTAACTATTAAAGGAATCTCCAAAAGGGGAAAGAATATCTGTTTCAAGTTAATTTTGGTCTGGATTATTGTGGAAATCCCCCATTACTTAAGGAGACTGTCACGTCAATTGTGAATATTCTCTGATGTGCACACCTTCATATGTGAGCTTCAGGACAATGATAATTTCAATAATAAACAGTATATGAACAATAAACACTTAACTAAACAAAAATTATCAACACACGTACAGTGAAACCCTGTTAATGGGGATCCTGTTAATCTGGAATTGCTCTTCCGGGCACTTCTGTTATGAACATTCGCAAATGTACAATTTAAAATGTACAATGATCTGTACGGATCCAAGGAGAGTATGACAGGGTTACATTGTACCTGATGACGCTCACCATAACTGGACATAGACATAGTCATCGTAATCATTGCAACTGAATATATATGTATTGTAATAGGTTGCTTGAAACTAGGGGTATCACGATACGCACCTCAGTATCGATACACAAAATATGTTACTTATAGTATGATACATATCACGATACTTGCACTGTTTTATAACAGGGCTAGAAGATTTAGCATTTAGCAAAGCAAAGCTTGATTATTGCAAAATATTGTAAACAAACCTTATTGAAAATCGATTGAAAATTTAAACATGAATTAGAACAAGGATATGGTTTATTGTGTGTCAAATCTTTGGGAGAAATTTATAGATATATCAGTGAATCGTGACCCCCTTAGATCAAACTGAGTATTGCAGGCTATCACATGAAGCACCACTGACGTTAGAACTGGAACCGATCATGGGATTCCGCTGACAATAAGTGAAAACAACAATCAACTGCCATGTTAATAGCTGAAATGTTTAGTTAAAATATCAAAATTGAGCAAGAACTGATAATTAGTGATCAATGAGTTAGTTGTGCAGTTGTTTTGGCAAGATATCTTATGACTTATCAGAAATAAATATCTCACCAAAGCCAGATAATAATTAGTCTTGATAATATGTCAAAATATATTTCATAAGGGCAAAGGCAAAGTAGATGCAAAAGGTCTATAAATGGGTAACTGTAAATCATTAAGGACACCAGTGGTTCGCTAAAAGGGAACACCATGTGTTGTCAGACAGAAAATGTATAATTGTAATACAATATTTATGTTAACTGATTTTGGTGTGTTTATTATTCTGCTATATCTTCAAAAAGTCTGTTGTGAAGTTTTTCATAAGTGGTTCTTCATTTCACGTTCACGGAACAAAAAAAGTCACTTTAATGTTTCATGCATCAGCTGTAATAAATTAGTGTTTGAATCCAATAGATACCTACCCTCATATGAATTGAGTAAGTAATAATAATGATCATTATAACTAGTTCAATTTGCCAAATTACATACAACTGATTAATCATGATAATAGAATAAGGGGCAAGAGTGCAATTTTTAACTACAAACAGTGGATCCTGCCTCAACAAAGGGATGCAACTCTCTATGACTTGTGCTGCCTCAGAAACGAGCCACAAGCGACAAATTATATTGTGATATTTTTCTGCTTCTACATAACAATTTACAACTTGAACATAAACGTGATGAAAAGAGTATAATGAGATTTCTCTAAAAAAATCTGGCTATGAACAGAAGGACTAGTGTAAAATCCTATCAGTTCGTAACTAACTTAAGCCAGCACTCAAGTCTACACAATTACTGTGATTGGAGATTTGATATCTTTGTTCCCAAATCAAGTTGGAATGTTGTATAAAAATATATCTCATTTTAAAAATGTACTTTTTGACAAGTGTCATATCATCTCTTAAACCTACTAAAACAATTTCAATAGATCACAAACTATTTGCACGAAATAACCTACATCTAATACTAACAAAATTGAACAGACCCAACAGCGAGATAAGTGAACAAAAATCATTCATATTTAACGCTAATCACTGAATATTTAACGAAATGTTGAATTTGAGACATTTCACAAAAACATTACAAAATATGCATATTCCACACAAAGCCAACAGCATCAAAACACCTACTGACAGTGTTTTAACGTTCAGTCCAGGCCTGTGAGAAACACTGTACTCAAAAAAAAAAAAAAAAATTAAAAAAAAAAATACTGTACTCATCTCTCCTCCATCTTCTCTTTGTTTACCATATCTGCCGTATTAAATGCCCTGCTTGGTCTGCTCCAATAAGAGCCCCCAGGTCAAATTCAAGTAATCATTATAGCACAGGGTCTTGTAACGCTAGAAACTGCCATCAAGGTATGTACTGTCACTAACGGGGTCTATTCACTATATAAAAGGAAAGGGATGTAACACCCTGTGCATTATAGGCACTCACTACTAAGACTGAGAATTACATAATCAATATTTTCTTGTGGATATTCCAGACTCTTATAAAGAAAACAAAAGTGCAGGATAGGTATATAAATATCTTAGGAGTAATTCTGAAATAGTTTTAGTACAATCAACCTTTGAGCCAAGTTTGTTCCACTCTCAAAATAAGGTTCCAATTTGTCAATTTTCTAAGCACCAGCAGCCCTTATTAAAGCAGATATGGTACAACCTCCATATACAAATAACAAAATTAAATATGTATATAAAAGATTTTCTTCACTCCAATGTTGTAGTGTTTACAATCCACCGAAAAATAGGTTAAGTTTTTATAAAAGCTTTTTCTTCTATTTTGATAGATTCATCTCTTTAAAAAAATAATTTCACCCAGAAATAGCTTCCTTAAAACCACTTTGATCAAAGATGTCTTGTTATTGTATAAGCACTTATATTGCTTACAAAATTACAACAGACTACAGATCAAATTAAAAGACCCAGTTAAAACATCATTGAGAATTACTTTCTAAGCTACAAATTTGCCCAATACCGAAAAACTACAAGCACCACTAGAAACCGACTAGCCACGTACAATACACAGCTCTACTCTACACTATATAACAAATGATCATGGCACTTTCGAGTTAGTTTGTTAAAGAGTTATCTCTTAGTGCCAAGATCGTTCTGCGGAACAACAACCAGGGCAAGAAACGCACTACATTTATACATTTGGTGTAAATTAATTGCAATGTCGTTGCAAATTACAAATGTTGCATAATCATGGCATCAATAATCGCACTTGAATTTTTGCACAATACCTGAAATATTGCAATCAAAATAGAAGTAATCAAAACACATGGTCAGCAAAACAGTTATTATCAGACATGTTGAAATGAATTTAAATGTGTTCTGAAAACACCTATTAAAGGCATTGATACAGTCAAGGCAATTCAAAGGATTGTCATTGATCAAAGACCTATTACAAGGAACCTTATCCTTATGGCCTTTTGCAGGAGTGTTTTATTTAAGGTCTTTTGAACATTTTAGTTAAGAAACTTGTATACATCTTCACAACCAAGTCCCCACGTTATGTACACAGGTGCAGAAAAATTAAAGGTAAAACATGGGAGCGTGTTTTAATTTTGTTGAAAACATCACCAAACAATTCAGTTGTAGTGTTTTGATGTTCACAGGTGGGATATGCATCAAAATTGGGAGGTCTGTGGCCCCTTTAACTATCTACATATAGTATGTCCACATTAAACATTTAGTTACGACGATACTTCATCTAGCATGTCACTGAGCCAAACCATCTGATCCATTTGCTTGTTTGTCCGGACCGTGAAGATCTGCGTTAGGTCTTCAGCAACCCTTGCTTGTCGTAAGAGGTGACCAACAGGATCAGTCAGGCTCGCTGACTTGGTTGACACATGTCATCATACCCCAATTGCGTAGATCAATGCTTGTGTCAGTCACTGAGTTGTCTGGTCCATACTCACATAATTACAGACCGTTGCTATATAGCTGGAATATTGCTGAGTGCAGCGTTAAACATCAAACGAAAACGCCCAATTCTGCTTGCTCTTATCATTGAAGATAACATGACATATCTCTCACCTATATATCATACTATATCACCTTATCCCTCTACGATGACACGGTTTAACATGAATACCCCATTCTGATACTGTATAAACACATGCAAGGGCAAGACAATTGTTCAAAATTAAACAAACCTGTTGAAAGTAACACAAACATTCTTTCATCTGATTTTCAGACAGTTTTAAGCTACCATAATATGATTAGTTACTATTTGTTTCCAGCACACACTGACTATATTATCTAATGGCTTGACTTATGGTATGAAGCATGTTAACCATGTTATCCAGAGAAGCATTCAAACAAGTCCACAAAAGCATGTTTGCTGATCAAGCCATGCATGCTTTCTGGGAATAAACATGTTTAAACCGTATCTGTCAAATGTAGCTATTACAGAAGAGACGACGCTTCCACAGTGAGTGAGTGAGTACGGTTTTATGCTGCTTTTAGCAATATTCCAGCATTATCATGGCAGGGGACACTAGAAATGGGCTTCACACACTGTACCCATGAGAGGAAATGAACCTGGGTGGTCGGTGTGACAAGCGGACATTTTAACCACTGGGCAACCCCACCGCCCCCTCTTCCACAGACACTCATAGAGAGGCACCAGCTTGGTGCAGAGGATCCAAAAGTAAGTAATGGAGATCATCTTAAACACATCAGTCGGTGCTGAATGACAAAACCTGAAGATCAAAACTCTGGATTTGGGAGTAAAGAGAATGGATAAGGAGGATAAGGATAAGGATAAGGATACGCTGATCTGGGTTATACTGCACCCTCACATGACGAGAAAACACATTCTAACTGGTGTAACAGACATACCATCAATAATGGGCTTCACACATTCTAACTGGTGTAACAGACACACCATCAATAATGGGCTTCACACATTCTAACTGGTGTAACAGACATACATACCATCAATAATGGGCTTCACACATTCTAACTGGTGTAACAGACATACCATCAATAACGGGCTTCACACATTCTACCCATGTGGGGAATCGAACCCGAATCTGCAGCATGACAAGCAAACACTTTAACCACTGGGCTAATTTCAAACGAACCCAAAGCTGAAAAATCGTGAAAAGTTTTTTGTTTAAAAAAAGAAGGTATTTTCTGATAATCATTTGATTCAGGGGTATGTTAATATTTTATTAAAATCAAACACGTAAAACTTAATATTCAAAGCTCTTATTAGTTGGCAATGTTATTAGTGAAATGCAAATCACCTTCACAAAGACATGGCTTTAGTTACTGTGATAATGTTACATGGCAAATTTTTAAATCCAATTGGGCAATGTTTTGACATTTGCTTTAAACTTGAGGACGAGTACCGGCTTCTGATCAGGTGTAGACATGTCACCGTCATTTGTCGATGTGTTTGTTTACTTAATGACGATAAAATGTATGTGGTCCTATCAAACAACAATGTTGAATGTCAATCACACATCAACAGATGTCTTGAACAGTATTTGAAAAATATATTTATAAAGTAAACAGAAATTCTAATGCCTCATATTTTTACACATATAGATGAAAAACTTAAAAATCAATTGATTGAGCCCTACCATTCATACTTTCTAACAGACACAGCTTGGTTTGAAAGACATAGTTTTTATGTGTATAAGATAATAATTATAAGCAATTAGTATAGTGTTATGTTATCAAAACATTCATTAACACTTATATCTAATCATAAAATTGTTTCATAAAATTTCTTGAAATATCGAGAGAATAAAGACAATTAAATCAGAATATTTCGAGGTAATCATGTGTAAAATAACACGGACATACATGTTAACAATTATAATGAGATTAAAGTAGACATTTCTCAACCCTGCATTTTTTATAAGAAATATTTCATACACCGAAAAAGATTTGGAAGACAATTCCTTTCAATTGAAATATCTAAACTATGAAAACAAGTAAGAAAATATTATCAATAATGCTAAATTCAATCACAACCCTCATGAATACAAATTATATCAAATTATTAATTTATTGCTCTCAAAAAACAAAGTTGATTTTGAGAGAACAAAATAGAATATTAGGTACTCTCTTACTACTCTACTTCTTTCAACTTGTGCCAAACAAAGGAAGGTTAATTATTTTAATAAGAAAATGTACTGGTCTGGCATCTTGTATGCATCACCAAATTCTAGTCATTTTAAACTTAGTGTCATTTCAGTCATATCATACCAGCTATAAATACCTAGGCCTGGTAAACCAAGGCTTGATATTATGAGCCTCATGGCACATCATCTTGGTACAATTACACACGACACCTACAAAGATATGAAGTCCAACTGATCTAGTTTAACATATGTCAAATTTAGGATTACATTTTCTGAGTTGAAGTACAGATCCAAATACTGATTGGGTTGAGTCCTATCTGGAGACAGATGTACGAGATGATTTGTTAATTATCTGGCAACATGACATAAACAGGGCGAGGCTACATGTCAACGCAGACATGACAAATCCTGATTGGTTATACAGATCACCCTGTTTCACTGTTGGAACACATATTGATTGGTCGGGTGGTGGTAGAGTTAATCTGTCTAATGCGGGAGGAAACTGCTACTTGAAACAGGTCGAGTTCACATTTCTTAAAACTAATGAACACATGGTGATGACAAATCATAAAACAATCAGGGTGCATGTGAGATTTGGACAAATGATCATAAATTCCTGGCACACATAAGGGACATAACTCTGCATAGAGAACAGAAACCACACCCACTGGGAAAATCAGAGCCAGGAGACAGTAGCACACCTGAATATATTTTGACGATAGTGGATACATTATAACATGTGAGATTTGAACACATGATCATAGAATCCTGGCACACGTAAGGGACACAACTCTGTATAGAGAACAGAAATCTCATCCACTGGATAAGTCAGAGCCAGGAGACAGTAGCACACCTGAATATATTTTGACGATAGTGGATACATTATAACATGAAATGATAATTATCAGTACCAAAGATTCAGACGAGATACTAAAAAATGAATAATCTTTTGCTGTTGAAAGACATGTACATCATATTATATCCCCGAAGAGCAAGACAACTATTTTGACCCGAAACACACCGGGTTGTCGTCTCATTGTAGGAATCGAGGAAAAGGCACCTGTCCACTGACTCGCTAAATATTGCTTCCGCTCTACACTGGTCTGTCTGCACATCATATTCAGTTATCTCCAGGAGTCAGGGGGGCTAAGTTTGGTTTTATACCATTTTGAACAACATTTCAGTTATATGACTGCATGATGATGGAGAAAACGTCCAAAGTGGTGCCTGGTCCTGGATGTTTACCATCTCGGAATTAGTGATAGGGCAATTCAACAGTTGAATCCAAAGAAACAACCTTCCCCTTCTTGAAAAGTAATCAGAGAAAATATTGATTATACAGTAAGTCCTGATTTACTTAGATTAAGCCATGATGAAACAAAACCATATCACTTTTCAATTAAAACTAATGAATGATATGATCTGTCATCATTTGGAAGTCAATTGAGGAAAGTCTGTCCTGATACCCTGATATTCTGATTACACTTCTCTTAAATATAAGAAATGGGTTTTTTCATCATCATCAAAAGTCTTCCACCATCATAGCAAGCCACTTGGGGAAAATCTGTCCAAAACTTCTGATATTTCAGGACTATTCTAATTATACTTGAAAGATATGACATGGGTTTATTTCTTCAGAAATAACCATTTTATCATGTCCAGGAGCTTCCTCTTCCAATCTGACAAAGCCTATGGTCTACTTTGGCTTTTTTGTTGGTCTTCTTCAGGATCTTCTTCAGGCCAGTGCTCATGAAATACGGTTTGTCTGGTGAGCCATCGTTCCTCTCCAAGTCCTCCACTGAAACAATTCAAAGGGTGAGTGAGTTGTGTTTTACACCACTTTTAGCAATATTTCAGCAATATCACGGCGAAATGGGCATGACACATTGTACCCATATGAGGAATGGAACCTCTCGCGTGATGGGCAAACAGTTTATCATTAGGATACTCCACCCCCCACAGAAACAAGGAAGGTTACATCGTACAAAGTGGCGCAATATAGAGTGGAGGTTATGTAAGAAATCGATAACTGTCCTCGTAACTTTCCAATACTTTTCCAGTCCAAGTTCTTCAAAACCACAGACATGGAATTTACAACAAGAGCATTTATTCTGTGGTTCACATATTTCCATTTCCAAACATGAATACATCAAAATGCTCCGTGAAACACCATGGGGCACAATTTATCCTTCCACATCAAACTACCGCCTCCGTGGATATAGTGGTTAGAGTGTCCACCCGGAGAGCGGAAGGTCGCGGTTCGATCCCATACCAAAAGACGTTAAAATATGGTACTTGTTGGTCCCTGCCTGGCGCTCGGCATTAATGGGTACAACAAGGACTGGTCGGCTCGGAGTCAGTATAATGTGTCTGAGTGGGGTATTCATGCTTCACTGCGGCATGGTATCTCAGTTGGCTAGCACTATAAAACAAGCTGGGCTAGTACAAGCAGCTGCACATACACATACACACGCATGCACGTCGTCATATGAGCGAAATATTCTCAAGCACGCCGTTAAACACAATTTCACCTCACCTCACCTTCCACATTATCAAAAGACATTACCTCAACAAGAACAATGGACGGACTGCCTACAAGGAGAGTAACTCTGCACAGGTATCATTTTAAAGAATACCACTAAAACATTTCCAACAGTTACCAATACTATATGGTTTAGGAATCATATGTTGTAGGTTAGATGATTAGTAGGCATGTAGAATTAATACAAAGTTAGTGCAATTTTGAGTGAGTGATCGAGTTTAATTTTACGCCGCCTTTAGCAATGTTCCAGCAATATCACAGCGGGGGACACCACAAATGGGCTTCACACATTGTACCCATGTGGGAAATTGAACCCGGGTCTTCAGCGTGACAAGCAAACGCTTTAACCACAAGGCTACCACACGGCCCCTGTAATTTTGAAATGGCAAAGCGATTGCAAGACTTGTATTAAGGGCACAGTGAACTTCAAGGGAGAGTCACATTTTTAGTCACATCTGCAGTATTTCAGCCATATCGTGACAAACTTCAAGGGAATAGAATGAGATCAACTGTAACTTTCTCTCTTTCACAAATGTCATGATTAAACAATTTTAAATTCCCTTTCTTTTGGCACATAAGATGATCTGTTAAAATGTTGAAATAATTGATTCCAGATTTCCAAAAATTATGACAAGTTGTGGCCTGAACCAGCAAACACAAGATGTGACAAATATCTAACTTACAGAAACACAGGAACAGGGTGTCTACTGCCATGCTGTACACGTTGAAGAAAGACGTCGCAACCAGGAAGGTGCCGATCACTAGAATCTGCAAAAACAAAACAGTAACTGAATTCTTTGTCTAAAATACGAGAATATTTCCTCTGGGCTTGCTCAACGATATCACTGCTAGAAATGATGACAGTTTTACAACCACCTAAAAATCTAGACATTATGACAGTGTTATGCCTACCCCACAGCAGAGACACCATGATAGTGTTTTACCCATCCCAACAGCTAGACATTATGACAGTGTTATACGCATCCGGGCAACAGCTAGACATCATGACAGTGTTATACCCACCCCAAAAGCAAGATATTATGACAGTGTTATACCCACCCAACAGCTAGACATTATGACAGTGTTATGCCTACCCCACAGCAGAGACACCATGATAGTGTTTTACCCATCCCAACAGCAAGACATTATGACAGTGTTATACCCACCCAACAGCAAGACATTAAGACAGTGTTACACCACTCCCAACAGCAAGACATTAAGACAGTGTTATACCCACCCAACAGCAAGACATTATGACAGTGTTATACCACTCCCAACAGCAAGACTTATTAAGACAGTGTTATACCACTCCCAACAGCAAGACATTATGACAGTGTTATACCCACCCAACAGCAAGACATTATGACAGTGTTATACCACTCCCAACAGCAAGACATTATGACAGTGTTATACCCACCCAACAGCAAGACATTAAGACAGTGTTATACCACTCCCAACAGCAAGACATTAAGACAGTGTTATACCATCCCAACAGCAAGACATTAGGACAGTGTTATACCCACCCAACAGCAAGACATTAAGACAGTGTTACACCACTCCCAACAGCAAGACATTAAGACAGTGTTATACCCACCCAACAGCAAGACATTATGACAGTGTTATACCACTCCCAACAGCAAGACATTAAGACAGTGTTATACCACTCCCAACAGCAAGACATTATGACAGTGTTATACCCACCCAACAGCAAGACATTATGACAGTGTTATACCACTCCCAACAGCAAGACATTATGACAGTGTTATACCCACCCAACAGCAAGACATTATGACAGTGTTATATCTACCTCAACAGCAAGACATTATGACAGTGTTATACCACTCCCAACAGCAAGACATTAAGACAGTGTTATACCACTCCCAACAGCAAGACATTAAGACAGTGTTATACCCACCCAACAGCAAGACATTAGGACAGTGTTATATCTACCTCAACAGCAAGACATTAAGACAGTGTTATACCACTCCCAAAAGCAAGACATTAAAACAGTGTTATACCCACCCAACAGCAAGACATTATGACAGTGTTATACCCACCCAACAGCAAGACATTAAGACAGTGTTATACCACTCCCAACAGCAAGACATTAAGACAGTGTTATACCCACCAACAGACATTATGACAGTGTTATACCCTCCCAACAGAAGACATTATGACAGTGTTATACCCACCCAACAGCAAGACATTATGACAGTGTTATACCACCCCAACAGCAAGACATTATGACAGTGTTATGACCCCAACAGCAAGACATTAAGACAGTGTTATACCACTCCCAACACCAAGACATTATGACAGTTTATACCCACCCAACAGCAAGACATTATGACAGTGTTATACCCACCCAACAGCAAGACATTAAGACAGTGTTATACCACTCCCAACAGCAAGACATTATGACAGTGTTATACCCAAACAGCAAGACATTATGACAGTGTTATACCCCAACAGCAAGACATTAAGACAGTGTTATACCACCCAACAGCAAGACAGTAAGACAGTGTTAACCACTCCCAACAGCAAGACATTAAGACTCCCAGTGTTATTAAGACAGTGTTATGCCCACCCAACAGCAGACATTATGACAGTTTATATACCACTCCCAACAGCAAGACATTAAGACAGTGTTATACCACTCCCAACAGCAAGACATTATGACAGTGTTATACCCACCCAACAGCAAGACATTATGACAGTGTTATACCACTCCCAGCACCAAGACATTATGACAGTTTATACCCACCCAACAGCAAGACATTATGACAGTATTATACCACTCCCAACAGCAAGACATTATGACAGTATTATACCACTCCCAACACCAAGACATTATGACAGTATTATACCCACCCAACAGCAAGACATTATGACAGTGTTATACCACTCCCAACAGCAAGACATTAAGACAGTGTTATACCTACCACAACAGGCACAAGTGAGTAGTTGAGGTCGGGGACAAAGTTGGGGAGGATGCTGGTGTTGCCGTTGAACCAAAAGTATGCAGCAACTCCTGTGCAGAATAGAGAATATTTGTAACAGCAGTATTGGAAGAATATATTTAAGTTTACATTTGGAACACAGGTGAGAAATGACATTTTTCCACCTTGTGCACATGCATTGATATGGTTTGCTTCACAACTAATAGATATTTGACAGTTAATTTCAGAGGATTTACATTGACAAATCTGACAAGTTTATGGTGTGAAAACAGCCAAAATAAAAGTTTCCAAATGCTGAATCAAATGACAGTTTTATAAGCCCTCTCCTCTGAAAATTAAATCTGAAGGTAGATAAACAGGTCATGTAACCATTGACAATTACAAAATGCTTTATTCTTTCATCTATTTTTCTCATTTAAAGATAAATTTAAGCTTAACATTTTATTATTTGTTCTTCATATTTCAAAAACCTTTTATCTGGAAACAAACCGGAACATGAAATAATTCGATGTCTGAAAATGTTTAAGTGAATATAGTTAATTGTCAACCAAAACTGCTTTGTACTGACCAATTGCTCCAGTGACCATCAGCTTGCTGATAAACATGATGAAATCAGCCACTTTGTCCAGTACAAAAGTACTGAAAACACAACACATCACTGTTATAATCATGAAAACAATATTGGATTTAAAAGGCTAGACAACAATATATGAATCTTTATCAAATTTTATTTCATGAAGTTATCAATTTGAAAAGAACAATTTAAAGACAAAGTTTTCAGAGTGCATTGTGCACTTCTAGTGCTGGTTATCGCTCCAATTACTGTTGCATTATTGGTTGAAATCTCACAATTGATGATTGGTTCATTACCAACATGCAAACAATCAAAACAAATTGTTTAGCGACATTTTTCAGATTTTCCAATTCAAATTGGTATTGCAGATAAGTATAACATGATGCAACTTGTTACTTAAAGTGATGACGAAATTCCATGTACATAAACTTCCTGGTGTCTTCAAGAAATATTCAGTCATGACTGTGAGTTTTCTGAGAATAAAAAAAGTTTTCCGGCCCTGACAACTTCTAAGATATGTTCCATTGTCAAGTGTTTCAAAGACATAAACAGTAGTTCCAAAATCGTTTGTGTTCGATTATGAGAAAATGTGATCGATTGCTTGGTCATTTGGTCAGTGTGACCAATGTTTGATTATTTCAATTAATCGGAACACCACTAGCGCCAATATACAGATTGATAATCAGAGGTCCATAATCGATTGTTATCCACAACCATAATAACATGACAGAATCATTACACTGTGCAAATGAACCAGTTGCCAGTTAATACCACGATCAAGAATACTTCCTGCTGAGACATGTACACGAGTTGTACATCGCAGTTTTACAAGTCAGGAAACTGAAATATGCAGTTTGTATATGTTCCAGTCTGGGCCAGACAATCTATCACGGACACTGATGACCACAACTAGGATACGATGACACGCATCAACCATTTCAACAAGCCAGGGTTGCTGTGTCCATTACAGAAACTCTCAACTTCCACCTACCGCACAATGTTTCTCATGATCAAGAAAAATCCATCTTTTGCAGCAGAGCAGAAGTTTCTTCCATAGATGGCAGTCTACAAAGAGAAAGAATTTAATTTAATTGTATGTTTTGCTAGAAGAATTATGTGAAATTCTTTCTGCAGAGTTATCTCCCTTCTGTTCCACTATGTCAAGCTCCACACAGTGATAACCCATAAACAGAGCTCTCCACACTGCCACCAGTTACAGCTCCCCACTATGCAATGCTATCACAACAATGCAGTGAGTTTAACATGCAACAGACTGATCTTTGTGTTCACCAAAAAGTGATCGCTATCATGACAATTAATACTTTTCCCTTGAACAATTTTTTCTGTTTATGCCAATTAGTCCTATCCCAGTATCACTAAGAATGAGTGAGTGAGTTTAGTTTTACGCTGCTTTTAGCAATATTCCAGCAACATCACGGCAGGGAACACCAGAAATGGGCTTCACACATTGTACCCATGTGGGGAATCGAACCTGGCATGATGAGCGAATGCTTTAACCACTAGGCTCCCACACGGCCCTGTATCACTAAGATGTTGATGTCAATATGTAGACACGTACCATGATGTAGGCATTCTTGTTGATGAACTTGAGGATTTTCTCCAGGCACCAGAAACAGCAGCTTAAACACCTGTACAGAAAAAGAACAATGGACCTTTATGGTAAAATGTTCCATGACTTGGACTGTTGTTGCTTGGCACTAGGCAACTGTCCAGTAATACGATGGTGCACTGTATTCCAATCTGGTCCAGACAATCCAGTGAGTGAGTTGTGTTTTACGCCGCTGTTAGCAATATTCCAGCAATATGGTGGGGACACCAGAAATGGGCTTCACACAGTGTACCCATGTGGGGAAGTGAACCCGGGTCTTTGGCGTGACGAGTAAACACTTTCACCACTAGGCTACCCCACCGCCCCCAGACAATCCAGTGATTTCAATAATTAACATTGGGGATACAATGGCATGCATAAACCAAGTCCGCATGCCTGGAAACCTGTTCCCGTTAGTCACCCCTTACAACATGCATGAGTTGCTGCAGACCAATACTGTCCAATAGTGACCTGCGTCTTCTTGAGTCCCAACAATATTGGACTGTTAAGTGATCTCACCAAGAATTTAGTTTTTGATCAGTTAGTGAATGTTATTTTCATGGATATTTTGTCATTATATACAGGACAACCAAGCACAACATTGACTTATCTTTAAATTGTAGGAACTGAGTATATAACAACTGAGCCTTACTTGACAATGAATCTTGCCACCTTGTTCTCCGAGCCCTTCAGTTTCCGACTCAGGTATTCCAGTACAGACCGGATCAGCTGAACAACAGCGATGAGGACGGAACCAAATGCAAGTGTACCCAGGTGATACCTTGGAACAGAAACAGGAAGCGTCATTGATGTGGCTCCTTGTACAGTTTGTAGTTCCCACCCACCCACACAAATTAACATGGACACCCACCCAGACATATTTATCACAGACTCAGACAAATTCATAGAATAGAGTCCTGAAACAGGAAGTCCCTGTTTTATCATGTCTTTCCCCTTCATGCTTAGCACCACTGCGTCAGTGTTTGAAATGTGCAGCTGGTCCGGAGGTAATTGAAATTTGAAAGCATTCTAAAACCCCCAAGATTGTTTGGACCTGTTAATATTTGAGCAAAACAATTAACAAATATAATAAAGTTATAAAATGTTTATAAACTTTTTTAAATATCCCTTCAGAAAACGATATGAATGTCTGTCTTGCATATCAGCAGAATTCATATTTATGTTATTCATGAGATAAATTAAAAACCAAAAACTGACAAAAACTTCATTTATGCATTACGGAAAAATATATTTACACCCTTATCAGTGGCCGCTGAATTTCTTCATAATACTTATGCAATATATTTGTCTTTGACTGGCATTTAGAAGTGATACACATAAGGAAGAGAGTTTTTATGGATGTCGACTTCTTTATTATGAGGAACACAATGTTTCGGGTATATCCTTACTCCTTCATTCACCTGATGAAGGAGTAAGGATATACTCAGAAACATTGTGTTCCTCATAATAAACAAGTTGACATCCATAAAAACATATTTGTGTTGAGTATAAGAATATGCCATCTTTATACTGATATCGTTTTTACTGTTATGAAGTTATGAATATTGACAGGGCCAGCTGACACTTGCTAGGATCAGCAGAGTTACTGGTTCTGTGAAACAGTCGGCGGAAAAGTTATCTTCTTTTTTTCTAGCTTTCAATTGTTAGGGCTAGAGGATTTGAAAAGTTAATGTCCCGTAGAACAGTGGGCAGAAAAGTCAGTTTCTTACACTGCACAGGGTAACAACAAGTACCATACTTTAAACATCTTTCAGTAAGATGCAGCCTGGAACGGAACCAACCTTCGTCAATGCTATGTGAGTCCCACTACTTTCAAGACTGTATTCTGTCTAATGTAAGCTGACATAGTCCAAGACACACTCACCGTATCGCCCTGTAGAAGGAGGACGCAAGAGGGGCAGAAGGGATATCCTTGGATTTGTCAAAAGCCCAGTAGTAAGAAGCAAATGCTCCCGCCAAGGTCATCTGTCCCAGAGCGATGACGAAGTTCATCATCCAGAAGAACATGAAGAGCATGTAGAATTGCAGGTACACTGTGTATCTGAAGCAGAAGACATGGTGTCCACAAGATGGCAAGGAGGGAAGCCTGAACAAATTCAAGGTCTTTCACAGATATTTTATGGCACTTATAGTTTTGTTTGTTTGCATGTTTGTTGTTAAATGTCGGACTCTGAAATATTCCAGCTATATGGTGGCTGTCAGTTAATAATAGAGTCGGGACCAAACAATTCAGTGATCAACATTTGAGTATTGATCTACACAATTGGGATATGAAGACGTGTAACCGAGTCACCTGATCCCGTTAGTCGCCTCTTATGACAAGTAAGGGTTGCTGAACACCAATTTTAACCCAGATCTTCACTGCCCACTTTTAGTCAAATATGAAGCAAACAAATAGCACAAACATGATGTGAATATTCACAGGCATGCCGTAATATAAAGGGAAGTAACTCATCCTGCATTACAACTGCATTTGTTCAGTAGGACGCTCACAATTCAAGAATTCATCACGCAAATCAGTTACTAAGATGCAAAATTAGCTATAACTTTAAAATGCATGTAATGATACAGTAATAATGATTACATTAAAATGTTCGTATTTTGTCTATGGACATAAGGGGCGGTGGGGTAGCCTAGTGGTTAAAGTGTTGGCTCGTCATGCCGAAGACCCGGGTTCGATTCCCCACATGGGTACAATGTGTGAATCCCATTTCTGGTGTTCCCCGCCGTGATATTGCTGGAATATTGCTAAAAGCGGCATATAACCAAACTCGCTTACTCTATGGACATAAATAGTGAAAAGTATTATCTGTAGTTATGTTCAGTCATAACCAGTGATGAGGACAAGTGTAACTGGAGTGTGTGTTTGAGGTTAGTTTTACGCTGCTTTCAACAATATTCCAGCAATATTGTGATGGCCATCACGAATAGTTAGATATTATTCCTGCATATTAATTGCAAAATTCTTAGTTATAAAAGCTTGTAAATGATTAGGCATTATGACATATCCCTTAGGTATTTCCCATCTGTAATTTTGATAGTTTATGGCAGTGCAGAAATTATTATTATAATTATCGTGTAATTAGTTTTGCAGCTATATTCGAGTATTATTGGCAACCTCGTTTTCACGTAATTCAGTGTTTTGAAATGTGTTGTGGTAAGAAATCTAGCAAAAAATCGTAGCATATTGTTTTGAGCATTATAAGATATTGCCATTCGTAAGACATCATAAGCTAGTGCCATCACATTACTCTATTTGTTTAGAACAGTTGTACTTTGTAAGAGTCAATGTCAACAATGTCGCCCATCAGAACGGTTTTGTTTACCTTTTCAAGAGTTTTTGAATTGACTGTAACTTTTTGACATTTCCTCGCTCTAAGCGTCAAGTTAAGAAAACTAGCTATCAGATATGGATTAATCTTACCTTGTCCTTCGACAAACTGATCATAATCCCTTGACACTCGTTAATTATCCATTCTTTGGTGAATTTGTGATCAGGGCCGAACTACATGTTTTGGTGACGCCCGACATTTTAACTTTGTGACAGCCAGTCTATTTCGCAACGGGGTTACCGCTACTTTTGACTCAGATTAGTGTTTTGCATTGTAAAGTTTATGTAATCTTGTGAATTACGTACAGAGGAACCCAGAATTGTATTTGGTGATGTACCAGGTCATGTTTCAAAGCCGATGTTAATTCTGACAACGGGAACTATGTGATTCTCACTGTTGTATTCATACGCGATGTTCAGCATCATTATTTATGAACGTGTTTTTTCACAAATATGACTTCCAGTGCCACTGTCAAATTGTATAAGGGGCTGAGCCATGTTTTTAAACATCTTATGTGTGAGATAAACTCCAATTGCCTCCTGACATCTGTAATCTTCCTCTTTGAATTGTCCATCATAATTCCCAGCCGATGCTGCTTGTTGTTATTACGTCCCCTTAGCAGGCAGCAAGGACGTAGCAAGACGCAGAGCGACGCAATTGTTGATCTTATGATATTGGAAGGCATTTAATGAATTAATTAGCCATAATTAACCGGTTGGTAGAAATAGTCATTTTCCAACCTGATTACCTCCTGAGATATTTCAGTGGTGTCATGTTGTGAAAGTAGATTCTCCAAAGAATAAGGACGTAACGGGACGTAATATCTCGTAATTTGATTGGTCTAGAACTGACATGTGACCATTTTCTCACACCTATAAATACGGTGAGATCCATGTTGGGTCATTCTGACTTTGGCAGTCTACAGGTCAGTCTCAAACCAAGGGCAGATAACTCAGCCCAAAAGTTCCCCTTGTCCTTACATAAATATAATAGCTGATGCTATACATAGACTGCACTTTTTGTACACAGACACAAATTATTATCTTAGTAACTATCGAGTTATTGAGATTACCCAGATAATTAAGCCATCACTATATCTATATAACAGTAAAGTCATAGGTCATACTTATATTGCCCTAACACTGGTCCATGCACATAAACCTTAAGTTTGAGAGGGATCTACTTATTAAAAAGAGCATTGTGCTGAAGTACATTTATACCCATGAATAAAAAGCTATTTATTCATTGAAAAGAAGTGTTTGACTCTTCCTGAAAAGAAGACAGACAAGGTTTATTAGAAGTTTGAGTCCCGGCCGCCACAATATCACAGCGGGGGACACCAGAAATGGGAAATGGGCGTCACACACTGTACCCACCTGGGGAACCAAACCCGTGTTTGTTTGGCGTGGCAGGCGAACGCCCTAATTTAACGTGGAACTCCCTGAGGAACAAGATAGTAATCTGCTATGTCTAAAAAATCTACTGACACCTGAGTTGTGAACTAAACAGTACATACCTGTTCCCTCCGTACTTGACGAACTCGCACACCTTTGCTGCTGTGTCTTGAGTCTGTAAACAGACATGTTATCAGTAAACTTATATAGAGTTGAATCCACCACTAATATGCTCAAAGTGCTACACTCGTCAATGGAGCACGGTGCTCTCAAGTGCCATTATCAGCTCACTGGGGAATGATCAACCTGAACTGCCTTTAAGGTGCAGTTTACAGTCACATTAGAATCTCATCCTACCGGGTACCCATCAGCAGACAAAGCCACTTGCCAAAGGAGGCACCACATCACATTTGTTTCAATAAGAGGAAGAAACTGTTAGTGGTCAAGAATAGTCACTCATCCACCTGATTTCAACATCAACGGTGCTAAAACTGCCTGATTTCTGTATGTCCATTCCCAGAGAATGACCCTGCCACTCCATCTATTCACCTATTACAAACAGCGATAGAGTGCAGGGAACTAACAGGACTGGGGAACACTTTTAATCCATTGTTCTAACAGTATCTGCAAACCGCACATACTGAGTAATGTTTACATGAAATGAAATATATTAACACATGTAACACTGCCACTATCATAACACAATATTGAAATCTATTATTCCTCATTTAAAATTAGTTTCAGATACAATTTATTCCAGCCATTTGTCAAACTTCTTTGTATTATTGTCTATTTTAACTGAGTGACTGGTAGATTGGGAGGAAACGTGGGCAGCTAATGCTATTTCTTGTTTAGGTTTATCTCATACTTCACATTTATAGTTTGTCATCTCCTGTTCCTTCCCATGAACTTGCTGATGGGAAACGATGCAGTTTCTGATGGCATAATACACAAATAATCTCACACAATTTTCAAAAAAGGGTTGCTGTTTCTTTATTATCTGTAGAATTTTGGTAGTGTTTTCTTAATTTGTTTGTTTTGTGCTGCACACAGCTATATTCCAGCTATGACCACCCGTTCTAGCTAGTTGCCTCTTATGACAAGTATGGGTTACAGGCCCTGATCCACAAAACGTTCGTAGCGCTACGACATTCGTAAGTCTATGATAAACTATAGAGTTACGACAGGTCGTAACGTTACGAACGCTTTGTGGATCAAGACCCTAAAGACTAATTCTAACGATAGATAACGGGCCCAATTTTGGCAGCGAAGGCAAATGATTAGGACATCCATTTAACCAAACAATATTTGATATAATGCAAGTGTCCACACAAGCGAGGTTCTATGCAGATTTGGGCAGAATGGCAGACTACAATGTCTTACCCCTGGAGAACATGGTATTCTCTCCACGACTGACTGGACGACTTCATTGGATTTGACGGCAGTGTTGATTGTTTCATTGGTCGTCGTGTTGGTGTAGTACTCTGCCTCTCCTGTTGAAGCTAGGTAACTTGTGATGGTCAAGGTCAACATGGAGGAAGCACTGGTTGAGCGAGTAGAAGGTGAGGTGAGGTGAAATGGGGTTTAACGTCGACGTGCATGCGTGTGAGTGTGTGGCTGCTTGTACTAGCCCAGACTGAAGCTGGTTTTATAGTGCTAGCTCACTGAGATACCATACCCCAGTTAAGCATGAATAACCCTCTCACACACATTATACTGACTCCGAGCCGACCAGTTCTTGTTTTACCCATTAATGCCAAGCGCCAGGCAGGGAACAACAAGTACCATATTTTAACGACTTTTGGTATGACGCGGCCAGGGATCGATCCTGCGACCTTCCACGCGAGTAGAAGGTAAGCCAATGATCGAGTGGCTGGATGAGCAAGAAGTTGTGTGAACAGCTGAGTAAGTTGTGGAGAGAGTGGTTAGGTTATATGTGCTGGAAGTTGTTGAGTGACAAGAATGAGTGATTGAATGGGTGGTTGGTGGATTGTTGAGAGAGGAGTTTAACAAGGTGGATAGTTCTATGGATATCAAGCAAATGTTAGCATCTACACCAAAATGTTGCATATATCGTAGCAAGATTGAAGTTTATATCCATAGAACTATCCCCCTTGTTCATCACACCAATGTTTAAATTCCGATCAAAGAGAGAGTTGTATGTATGGTTGGTTGAGTAAATGGTTGAGTTGTGTGACGAGTTGAGTAGAGTGAGTGGCTGTGTGAGAAGTTGAGTGGTTGACTGAGGAATTCAAATCATGGGCTTTGTATGGAAGGAATGCCCAAAACAAAGCAGTTCTTTAACATTTACAACGTAAGCCCACAAGCATGGATATGCTGATGAAAAAGCTTTGAATATAAAATCAGCTATATTTCTGGAACACCAAAGGGATTCAAATCATCACAGCAAATTCAACATCAGGCAAAAGTTCCTAAAGGTAGGGCCCTGTTACACAAACAATCTTAGATCTACGAGAATCATAAGCTGATATTAAAGCATAACCTTTGTGGTCAACTAAGCTCTAAAATGCAACTAGGCCCTTATGAATACAATTCTAGCAGGAGACACACACATCCATCAAAAGATGGTCGTTACACATGAGGCCAAGGTGAAGGATACATGGCGGTGGATCCCCAGTAGATGACCACCAGCACTTGCAGGACGAATGGAACAATCGGCCATAACAGCGTGTAGGACATGGAGCCAATAGCTCTGCTGCCCTCCTTGATGAGTTGAATGGCGATACAGATACGGGGGATGAGGAAGAGCAGGACGATCACGAAGATGATCAGGAGGGTTGCCGACGTGCAGCCTGCGAACACAACACAATCACTCCACCGGTAAATATGACTGATGCACTTAGCCACTTCAGCAATTAGTGCAAAGTGAGAATCTAGTAAATCAGGTAAATTTAGCAAATCATACCCCACATGATAACACTAAAATGTGCTAACATGATATTAAAAGCAACACTGGAACAAGTCAAGTCCAAATTTTGGGCACAGTTCTTGCAAGAAATGACCCCTTTTCTAATCCCTATTCACAATTAATTCTCCATGTAATCACGCTAAAATGACACAAAAATGACTGAAACAGTTTTAAATCTCGTTTCACATTTACAATTCACAACAAGGCCAGACCAATTTTATTTCTTGTTTTACTGATCCGCCGGTCGCCTTTTTTCATGAATAAGAAAAAATAAATAAATTAATTTTCCCTGCTCAAAAAATAAATCCTAATGTTTTTATTGGCCAAAAATGTAAACTTACAAGAAAAAGTTTTTTTGATTGTTTTTGGCCCCATATACACATTATAAATTGCCAGAAGTAAAATTCTTTTAATATATAGAAGAAATATTACTTTGACACGTGATTTTATTTTTATTCTTTTTCCCTCCTGCCTTTAGGTTTTCTGAGGACAAAAGTCCGTAAAACAAGAAATAAAATTGGTCCGGCCTATACGAAACATATGAAAATACATGTATAGACATATATGTCACTAATCATGTTAAAAATGTATGTGGAATGACATACTGTTTGATGATCAGCAGTGTATCGTCATGTCGCCCCACTTATGTGTGATATTGTCACACAGACTAGGGATGGTTATCAGTTTTTGGCTTATTTCATACACTGTTATCAGTATAGATCATGGAGATCGCTAATCGTTAACTGAGTCTCATTCGATTATTGGTATATATCGGAGATGTAACTTTGAGCAAAAAAGCCAAAAATATCGAAAAGAAATGAATATATTTGACATCACTGGTGAGTTGTGACATGTATTTCCATGGATTATTAACAAAACGGCATCCTGAACATATGTTAGGAGCAGACCATAAATTAAGTCCTAAATTTGTATATTGTGTGAGAAAAATTCTATCACAAAAATTAATGTACAATATTATCGTTAACACAATTTCCATATTGATAATCATGAATATTTTTTCCTATTGATGATATTTCCGATTATTGATCATTTTATCCAGCTCTAATACAGACACCCCACCTAAAATATGGTATCACATAATGATAATTCCATCCCATATCTCATGGTGGCAGGGCAACTCACCAAAGGCCAGCCACGTCTCTTTGAGGGACAGGTAGTATCGGAAGTTGAAAGTGAAGGATAGGGGCAGGCCAAACTCTTTCTCCGTGTTCATGTCCTTCAACTTGTAGTACTGGTTGTAGCAGTAGTAAGTCCCTGAAACACAAGTCAATCATACACATGATGTCAAGTCCTGTGAAGATGTGGGTTAGAACAGGTCTTCAGCAACCCATTCAGCTTGTCACTTATATCTACAGACCGCCATCACTTAGCTGGAATATTGCCGTATGCAGCAATAAAATCAATCAAACCGACGAACGAACAACATGTCAACATGGTTGATAACAGAATCTCTATTTGAATAGACATACAGACTCATAAATGTCTCAGTTGTCTTATACCAATGAAGATCCAGGTTAGAACTGGTCTTCAGTAACCCATGCTTGTCGTGCGAGGTGACTAACAGGATCTGTGGTCAGGCTTGCTGACTTGCTTGACGTCATCGTATCCCAACTGCGCAGATTGATGCCCATGCAGTTCATCACTGGATTGCCTGGCCCAGACTTAATTATTTACAAACAGTCGTCATATAGCTGGAATATTGCTGAGAGCAGCATTAAAATGAATAAAACCAACAAACAACATAGCAATATAGTCGATAACACTATCTCCCTTTGAGTAGACATACAGACTTATAGCTGTCTCAGTTGTCTAGGTTCCACTACACTAAATCAGAATGCTCCCTGAGCGAGCACCGTTTGAAGAGATAGAGACATGTGACAGCTATGATTGGATGAAATAGTGTCAGATTTTTATGTTTTTTAAAAGCTCATCCATCCAGTAATTAAAACTGACCACAATTTTAAGTATTTAGTGCTGTCATTTTTAGCACCATGATTTATGCTTATTGTGTGTACAGATATTTTAAAGATGGTGAACTCGGGTTGATGTGTTCAGCTTCCTGTGCTGGGAAAATTAGCCAGATAAGTTAGCCGGAATTTGTGTTTTTATTGTGGTTTAAGGGCCGGAATGTACCCATGTGTATGTACATGGAATGGCTGTTGACAGCCTGGATGATTTTAAAAACAATATAACATTACTATAGAAGTCTATGGGAAAACATTTGGTGACCTCTAAGGAACTACAAATTGCTGTGCAGTTACTTCCCTTTGGTGCAGGGTTGCATCCCTTTCATTTCTGTTAGCACCACACCAATGCTTGTGGGTTTCATCAAGTGGCAAACATCTAAGACCTGAATTTGGGGCTTTCGTGATATACCGGGGTAACGTAAATTCTCTTCAAACCTGTGTAAAAACCCAACTGACTCACTTATTCACTTGGCAGGTCTAAAGTGAAAGTTGGAGAAGTCTTGACCCATCGTCATAGAGAACATGTGTCAAACTATAATACAAATTGGGAGAGACGAACTAGTGTTGGCAGAAGACCTTGAGTGAGTGAGTGAGTGAGTGAGTGAGTGAGTGAGTGAGTGAGTGTGAGTGAGTGAGTGAGTGAGTGAGTGAGTGAGTGAGTGAGTGAGTGAGTGAGTGAGTGAGTGAGTGAGTGAGTGAGTGAGTGAGTGTGAGTGAGGAGTGAGTGAGTGAGTGAGTGAGTGAGTGAGTTTTACCAGCAATATTCCAGCAATATCACGGCGAGTGACACCAGAAATGGTCCTCACACACTGTACTCATGTGTTCAACCCGGGTCTTTGGCATGACCAGCAAAATCTTTCACCACTAGGCTACCCCATCGTCCCAGATGGAAGGATGTGCTGCTTACCAAAGCTGAAGAGTCCGACAAAGAGAACAAGGGTGAACCAGACCATGACTCCCACCAGCCACCTCATCAGGATGATCCACACCAGGGATATCAACATGGCAACACACAGGCCCCTGTAACAAGGGTATCAACATGGCAATTAGCAGGAACATACATAGACTAACGCTCAGTCCCTGAATATATATAATTTTGATAGTAACATATAAACCCATTCAAATTGAAAAGAAGCCTCAGGGAGACCAGAGATTCAGAACCTAAGGGAATCTAGACTTGCTTCATGTAGGGCTTTAGCAGAGGGAAAATAATGTGGTTCAGGGACTGTGAGACAGACTACATTGAAGGGAGGGCTAGGCAGAGGGAAAATAATGTGGTTCAGGGACTGTGAGACAGACTACATCGCAGGGAGGGCTAGGCAGAGGGACTACATCGCAGGGAGGGCTAGGCAGAGGGAAAATAATGTGGTTCAGGGACTGTGAGACAGACCAGAACAGACACTGCAACAGACAGTGATCAACATCATGTGGTCTTGGGTGTCATGCTCACAGATGCATGTTGGCATGATACAGTTCTATTCACTGACCTCATAGTAGTGCAGTGGCTTAGGTCCGATTTTGAGGTTGATCGTTACATGCCGGACTAAAGCATGAAACTTTGCATAGTGCTGGGGAATATCATTGTAAAACATATTTTTGGGGGGTGCCCGATTTTTGGGGCACATTTTCCGAAAAATTCAAGATGGCGTCCAAGATGGCCGCCAAAAATCAAGGATTTCCAATGTTAACACTATATAACTTTCCCCCGCTGGTTTTATAGCAGAAAACCTTGCACGGTGCTTGGGAACATAATGATGAAACATATTTTTTGGATGTGCCCGGTTTTATGGGCCCATTTTCCAAAAAATCCAAGATGGCGTCCAAGATGGCCCCCTAAAAGCAAGGATTTCCAATTCTAGCACTATTGTGACTTTACCCACTGGATTAAAGCAGAAAACCTTACGCAGTGCTAGGAAACATCGTGATGAAGCATATTTTTTGGGTGTGCTCGAATGTTTGGGCCTATTTTCCCCAAATCCAAGATGGCCGCCAAAAATCAAAGAGTGCTGAAGTCCACCCAGAATGGTCGCCGACTATAAAAAATATTCATTTGTTGCAGTATGTGAGATATATTCGCCGTTCAAAGGGCTATTTTTAATACTTTCAAGAAATATAACAAACAGGATTTATCTTTAGTAGTAAAAGATATTATTCATCATCCAATTAATGAAAAAGTTATTGTTTTGATCAGTCACGTGACATCAATTTGTCAAACATCGATCTCTGTGATTCTGAAGTCTCCTTTAACAGTTCCTATTGTAGCCAAATTTTGAACAACTTCGTGAAGCTTCTGGCAGTGTCATCCACACCGGCAGCCATGGGTTGTTGTCCTTTGTCCAACCAAATAAATCTGGCTGTGATGCTTTCTTTCTGAGAAGTAAACAAGTAAGCCATATGCTGGCCTGGTACAAGCTCCTTTGTGTGTGCTGTAGCAGAGCATCCTGAGTTGGAGGAAGGTTCTGCATCAAACTTGATCTTGCGGCTTTGGCAGAACATCTCTTGTCGCAGTTCGTTGGCTATGTTCACTGATGTAGTTTTGTCAGACAAGATGCATGTGAATCGCTCAACTTATGAAAACACTTCTGAGTCTTTGTCCACAGGTTGGAATGGATGCTGTGCAGGAAAAGGAAATCTCTCAGTCACATCCTCATAGGATATCCATGTCTTCAAAGCAGTTGCCTTTTTCCACTAAACTGTGATGTTGTGTCAGAACCAGTGAATGCGTGGAAAAAGGGAAGCGCCACTCATCTTCGACAGCCAAGATCTTGGAATATTCTGTTTATGTGATAACATCTGACGTTTTTCCCGTTTTCTAATGACCCCCACAGCTGAACAGCAGACTTTAGTTCAACCAGTTTGGACAACAACATTTGTGTCGACAGTGCTAAACCATGATGTTTGTAGCACCTTTTTGCAAAGCATCTTTGACATGAAGGCAGATTCTGATATCCGCTTCTTCCTGATCAGTGCACTGCATATCCTCTTCACTTCCTACTGTAACCACTGACTCCACAGCTGTTATGAACACAACCTTTCATGGTTTGTAAGAGCTGCTAGCCACATCATCTGTTATGAATGCAAATAGTTCTTCTTTGTCCTTTGACTCTCTTAGAAAGGCAGCAAAGATCGCTGGTAGTCTAGTATGACGGGAAGCTTTTCTTCTACTGCCTTTCTTCGCTTTTCTCGTGTTGTCTCGAGCAAAGTCATACCCAGGTGATGCAAGACAATCTAAGAGCTCTGATTTGCAGTTTGGTAAATGAAGTTTTCCATGAATTGATATGGATGGTGGCCACGGGTGGTTTTCATGAGAAAAGAATTGGTTTTTATTAGGTTGACGTACCTGACAATCAATGAGCATCTGACTGAAGAGACTATAGCCATTTTTCAGGTCATTCGTTTGCTGTTTGATTTCGACTGAGGGTTTGTTTGTGGTGGCTTTAAAAAAGGTGATTTTTCTTAATGGGATCTGTCCTTTACAAACTTCTCATATTTGTCTTTTCCTGTCTTCTCCATTGATTTCATAGATGCTACGACAGCTTCACCAACACATTGATGATCATCAAGGGTCATCGGTTCAGGAGACTCTGCCAGGAAGGGATTCCCATCGAAGCAAGTTGTTGACTTGAGTCTTAAATGTCTGCTGTGTAGCAAAATCTTGTTCATTGCTTCAAGTATCCACCTTGTCATCTTGCTTCTCAAACTCTTGCAGAATTTTTGCTTGTTCTGGTCCAAATATCATCCATCTAGTGAAGGCAACATCCTCTATTAATGCAACTGCACCACCTGAGTGTTTTACAACTTTGCTGTTTTGCTCATGAGTTTGATCCAAAAGCATGGCAGCAAATGTGTTTGATAGTGCATAGTTGGTGTGATCAAGAGCAAAGAACCAAGGGACAAGCTGTTCCATTACCTGGATGTACAGAGACATGTTTCTTTCGCGATGGGACCTCACACAGATTGGTATCATTGTCTCCAGATGAAGAATCAAACCCCAGTATTTGAATGTTGGAATGTTTTCTGACATCCAATTTTTCCAGCCAGTCTTCAAATGATTGTTGAACATGCGATTCCAGTGAGAACATGTAAGCATCGCTTTGAAGACATGCTATTTGATACGGCAGCTATTTGATTAGCATGTCTTTGTAACATGAGACGCTGAAATGAAAGATTCAGTTCCACTTGGTCAATACCCGCTTCTGTTGGTGCTGAAGTCCATCCAGAATCTTCCAACAAGTCTCCAACCATTTTCCATAAGGCTATTTCAATGTGAAGACCTCCAAGCTTGATAGTGTACACATCTTCACCAAACACATTAGGCCATATCCATCGAACATATTTTGCTAGCGCAAAATGTGGTTGGGCTATATCCATGACTGGGAGTTGTCCTGGATTGCAATGTTCTGTGACTGTCTTGATAATAGACATGCCATGCCTAACCAGGGCAAGACTTGCGGCTTTGTCCTTAAAGAAGAGGAAGAAGAAAAACTTATTCCTGCTGCAACCTGTTCCTGGGATTGACGAGAAGCATGAAATGCACCAGGCAACTCATCCTTTCCAAATGTTCTTCAGCGAGAAGGCCAATGTAGTGCTTGATCCAAGATTCTTCTTAGCTTTGGTGATCTTGGTTTCGACTTGATTATGAGTTATAGGCACATTAACTCTCTCCACATTGCAGGCTACTGCAGGAACTATACAACGTCCTGGAAGTGTGGGTTTGGAAGAGCTTGAAATAATGTCTATTGAAATAGGTTTTTCGCTGGTACCATTATCAACAACATTATCAAATGTGGCTGCAAGTCTCAAAATCTATGCTCAAAGAAGTGCATTTGTAAATCTTCTCCACTTCTGTGCACATCGCTCTGTAACTTCAATGGGAAATGTTAAAGGAGACTTCAGAATCACAGAGATCGATGTTTGACAAATTGATGTCAAGTGACTGATCAAAACAGTAACTTTTTCATTAATTGGATGATGAATAATATGTTTTACTACTACACATAAATCCTGTTTGTTATATTTCTTGAAAGTATTAGAAATAGCCCTTTGAACGGCGAATATATCTCACATACTGCAACAAATGAATATTTTTTTATAGTCGGCGACCATTCTGGGTGGACTTCAGCACTCTTTGATTTTTGGCGGCCATCCTGGATTTGGGGAAAATAGGCCCAAACATTCGAGCACACCCAAAAAATATGCTTTATCACGATGTTCCCTAGCACTGCGCAAGGTTTTCTGCTTTAATACAGCGGGTAAAGTCACAATAGTGCTAGAATTGGAAATCCTTGCTTTTAGGGGGCCATCTTGGACGCCATCTTGGATTTTTTGGAAAATGGGCCCATAAAACCGGGCACACCCAAAAATATGTTTCATCATTATGTTCCCAAGCATTGTGCAAGGGTTTCTGCTATAATCCAGCGGGGGGAAAGTCATATAGTGTTAACATTGGAAATCCTTGATTTTTGACGGCCATCTTGGACGCCATCTTGAATTTTTCGGAAAATGTGCCCCCAAAATCGGGCACCCCCCCAAAATATGTTTTATCATGATATTCCCCAGCACTATGCAAAGTTTCATGCTTTAGTCCGCCAAGTATCTATTTTCACCCTAAGCCACTGCAGGTCCTCTGGGCAAAGGTTATTGGTATCATTCAAAAATAATTTCAATACTGTATTCTATGTACTTTTCTCTTCATATTACGAATATGTACCATGAAGAGTGCCCCTTTCCCCTCCAAAATCATAAAAGTTCTTGTTACAGGTATACATACGATAATTTTTGTCTTGAGCAAATTGGTGTTTACAACTCATAGCGATACTAGTTTATTGAGTGTGTTTCAGAGTTTCAGAACAGTTCTGATCAGATCAGTACTTACAACAAGATGAAATACCACGAAGACGACACATCCCTGAATATGAGCTCTCCATATTCCTTAAACTTGTAGAATTCTGCCAGAAACCTGAAAACAAACACAAAGTACACCATAATAGAACATGATGCAAACATCATCACTATCATCTAACACTCATCATCACCACCACCACTACCATCACTACCATCACCACCATCATCATCATCACCACCACTACCATCACCACCAACATCATCATCACCACCAACATCATCACCACCACCACCACCATCATCATCATCATCACCACCACCACCATCACCACCAACATCATCATCACCACCACCACCATCACCACCACCACCAACATCATCACCACCACCAACATCATCACCACCACTACCATCACCAGAATCATCATCATCACCATCACCATCATCATCATCACCATCACTACCATCACGACCAACATCATCATCACCACCAACATCATCATCATCATCACCACCACCACCATCATCATCACCACCACTACCAACATCATCATCATCACCACCACTACCATCACCACCAACATCATCATCATCACCACCACTACCATCACCACCACCACTACCATCACCACCACCACTACCATCACCACCAACATCATCATCACCACCACCATCATCATCATCATCACCACTACCATCATCATCATCACCACCACCATCATCATCACCACCACTACCATCATCACCACCACCGTCATCACCACCACCAACATCATCATCACCACCACCATCATCACCACTACCATCATCATCATCACCACCAACATCATCACCACCAACATCATCATCACCACCAACATCATCACCACCAACATCATCATCTACACCAACATCATCATCACCACCATCATCATCATCATCACCACCACCACACCAACATCATCATCTCCATCATCATCATCACCACCATCATCTCCACCATCACCATTACCATCATCACCATCATCATCACCACCATCATGATCATCATCACCACCATCATGATCATCATCATCACCACCATCACAATCATCATCACCACCACCATGATCATCATGATCATCAACATCATCATCATCACCACCACCACACCAACATCATCATCATCCATCATCATCATCATCACCACCATCATCTCCACCATCACCACTACCACCACCATCATCATCATCACCACCACCATGATCATGATCATCATCACCACTACCACCACCATCATCATCATCACCACCACCATGATCATCATCATCACCACCATCATATCCACCATCACCATCACCACCACCATCATCATCACCACCACCATGATCATCATCATCATCACCACCATCACCATCACCACCACCACCACCATCATCATCATCATCACCACCATCATCATCATCACCACCATCATCTCCACCATCACCACTACCACCACCATCATCATCATCACCACCACCATGATCATGATCATCATCACCACTACCACCACCATCATCATCATCACCACCACCATGATCATCATCATCACCACCATCATATCCACCATCCATCATATCCACCATCACCATCACCACGCACCATCATCATCACCACCACCATGATCATCATCATCATCACCACCATCACCATCACCACTACCACCACCATCATCATCATCACCACCACCATCACCATCATCTTACCTAGTCCCATTTCCAAGCATATTTCCTGTGACACTCTCATTCAGTGCGTTGACTACAGGGGTACCATCACTTGTGTTCAAGTTAGAACCCATGTCAAGAATGTCACTGAAAATACTCGGAACACAACGTCCAAGAACTGAAAGAAAACCAGGAAGCAAAATATAATACCTACGACCAGTTCAGTTCTTACTGATTCTTTTCACGACTCTGCTTATCAGAATATCAGTCTGTATACTGGTATAGTGACCTCAAAATAATAACATTTTGTCTCAAGACAGTTTACATGTAAGGTTTGATCTTCACAGCCACCTTGGCTGACAGAGAATTAACATCAACACATTCATTATAAAAACTACAGGTAGTTTAATATTTTTTCAAGCATTCTGTACATGCATAGTATTACACTTTCCTAATAAAGTACAATTGCTTGTACTTCTGAATCCAGTACATCTAGTACACATACTTTGTGTACCCCTCTGACAAGTGAAAGTTGCCACAGCTCCTATGGCCTAAATACATGGCCTAATGCCTTTTCGTAAGTGGTCAAATGTAAAAGATGTTGAAAACAACATGTACTAGAATTTGTACTTCACTGAGAATGTTTTTTACGCGATCAAGCTTTTATTTATTGTCTAGCATTACATAACATTGTTTTGAATTTTATTTTTGGTGGTAACCACTCTTTTGCAGTTTTTGCAAAATTGCAGTTTTTTTCATCTCTCTCCATTTTTAATATTTGTTAGCCATTCTTACAGATGGCAAGTCAGTAAACCATATTTGAAAACGCAATTGCTGTTGTACCTGGCGATGATGGTACGTAGTAAGCGGCACAATCCTCTTTCTTCACCAGCTCCGTCACGTCACCCTGGAAACATCACATACATAGGGGAGATAACTCAGATTAATAGTGTGCACTTGTGTTGGTTTGTTGTTTAACGTTGCACTCAGCAAGATTCCAGATATATGACGGCAATCTGTAAATAATCAAATCTGGACCAGACAATCCAGTGATCAACACTGCAGTGTTCACGAATGGTGTTTCAAAGTAACAGGAAACTGGGTCCTGTAAGTTTCAAATGTCTGTCTGACCCATTGAAACTTCACAGGGCCCATAGAATAAAATTAACACACATTTCAGATTTAACATTTCTTATAATTGGCATTGAAATTATTAACAAACATAAGATTTAGAAACAGCAAACAAGTGTCACATGTCACATATAACACCTTCAGTCAAGTCAATGTGAAATATACAGTCAAACACTGGGGCCGGCGGGTTGCAGACTTCTATCAGACCTTTGGCGAATCTGCCAGATTTGTCAGAGGGTCAGATGCTATTCGTGAACACTGCAAAAGCATGAGCATCGATCTACACAACTGGGACATGATGACATGTGTCAACCAAGTCAGCGAGCCTGACCACCCGATCCTGCTAGTTTCCCTTTACGACAAGCATGGCTTACTGAAGGCCAATTCTAACCCGGATCTTAACTGGTCTGTGCACTTGAATATGAAAGGATACCATCTGTATCTTGAAATAATGTGTGCTGCAATGATATCTGCATGGATACCAACATATACCTTTAATCAGTTTTGGATAAATGGGTATGGAATTGAAGGATTATAAATTGTTTTTATTTTTGTGATGTCTATAACTGCTATTGTTAGTGAAGTGTGGCTTCAATGAGAGCTGTTGATATTTGATACTGATAAGTTGCAATCAACGTATTGGCAGTCAGCAATATATAATTGCCATATATCAACAGCGCGATCTACCCTAATGTCAACCTAATTAGCCAGAGGCTGATATGTATTTATTAGACTACGACTTTTGATGTCAACTGACGCCACAATTGTCACAGCATATGCGTTTTCTGAGCATGTGGTGAACACGATGTATGAGTACTGCACAACTTTTAACAGCGAGTGAGTTTAGTTTTACGCTGCACTCAATAATATTGCAGCTATATGGCAGCGGTCTAAATAATGGAGTCTGGATAAGACAATCCAGTGATCAACAGCATGAACATCAATCTACACAAATGGGATACGATGACATGTGTCAACCAAGTCAGCGAGATTGACCACCCGATCCCGTTAGCCGCCTCTTACGACAAGCATGGGTTACTGAAGATCAATTCTAACCCGGACCTTCATGGGTATAACTTTTATCATCATGTCAACTGTGTTGGAAGAAAATGGATGGATATAGATTATACGTGTAACAAATTTCAGATGCTTTTCAAAGTCATCAATTTACAGAAGTTGACCACCGGAACGAAACCAGTGAACATGGTTACGACAAACCAAGGATGATAAGCAAACCAAACCAGGATTCAAACCCAGTATCAGCCGAGTTCCACTCACCCCGTCGGAAGCGTTAACGTTGTATTTGCAGATCATCCTGGCCCTCTCCATCTTGTTGATGCCATGAACCTTTTCCTTGGCCAAGGTTTGTAAGAACACGTAGCTGGAATTGGGACACAGTTCCACACACACCTGCAAGCAGATTCCCACATTAACTGAGGCACGAATAGGGGAAGTCATAACATGTTTACCATCTCGGCCCCAGGCAGAATAGTAACACAATAGCCTTGCTTGTTGTACAAGTGTCAAATGAGAATCATGTGGTCACAATATGGTGTATATTGCAGTGTTACAGAAACAAGGGAATCTTCACATATAGGGAAACTTCTGAATGAGTGAGTGTAGTTTTAAGCTGCTTTTAGCAATTTTCCAGCATTATCACATCAGGGGACACCAGAAATTGGTTTCACACATTGTACCCATGTGGGGAATTGAACCCGGTTTACTACTTTGGTGAGTTTTACACGTTCAACGAACGTGTTAATTCTTCAGGAACAGTTTTGGTTGTCTTATGTTTTTCAGGGACTAAAACCAAGACTGTGGACTTCAAACGTGGTAAAAAGTCACAACATATTGCTTAAGATTTAATTTTTTCCACAGCCAATATCTTACTCTTGTTAAGTTTGCCGAAACTGTTTATGTTGCTGAACTGTTTAATTGCTCTTCCAAGCCATCAGGTAAAAACAGGGCATCAATACGGCAGTAAGCCTTATCACTCTTTGATGGCCTGAAGACTTCTTACACAGAGTTAGTAACTCAGTCAGTCTAACTCATGGGTCCTCAATGTGGAGGGGGACAGATTATAGAGAATAAAACTGAGAAGCTTTTCACATTGGATGGATCATTTCAAGTGAAATTGAAAAGACATCATTTTTAGATGTAAATCGTAATTCAATCATTAAAACGTTACTTTTCAAAACACGAAAAGTGTTCTGAGCTGATTTGTACATTGGGTTATGTCCCGCACCTATCAATGACACGAGCATTATTTGTGTTGACAAAGGACAGCATATTGAAGTTCTTGTGAACTACCACACTTTAAATGTAGGGAACAATTGTAAAACCTTGCCTTTTTCATTTGCATTTCCTGTCCCTGTTAGGGTTATTTGAAAGCTTGAAGAGAATATAGCGAATGCTGACTGTTATTTATCATGTCACGATGACACTGTGTAAGTTCATACTGACATGATGAGTTGATTCTATATACAGAAGTGGCAGTAGTAGTGAGTGAGTGAGTGAGTTTAGTTTTACGCCGCACTCAGCAATATTCCAGCTATATGGTGGTGGTCTGTAAATAATCGAGTCTGAACCAGACAATCCAGTGATCAACAGCATAAGAATTAATCTACGTAATTGGGAAGCGATGACATGTGTCAACCAAGCCAGCGAGCCTGACCACCCGATCCCGTTAGTCGCCTCTTACGACAAGCATAGTAGTAGTAATAGTGGGTGGAGGAGTTGCAGGGGGACAAGTAATAGTAGTGGTAGTATCAGTAGTACTAGTAGTTGTAGTAGTAGTAGTTGCAGCAGCAGTAGTCATAGTTTAGACATTACCTAGTGGCAATTATTGTTGTGTAGTGGTATTAGTATTGGTAATGTCAGTTAAAAAACAGGAAATTAAAGAGTTCCTAGAATTCAAATATTGACTGCAACAAACCTCAAGCAAATTATTTAGAAGTAAACAGTTTTAATAGAGACCTGCGGGGTTTGCCCTGATGAAGAATTCTTGCTTTTTTTGAGGCAATCTGAATATAAATTATGGGTATGATTGACTATTAATTGCTTTGGAATCAATAACATTTTCTACAATAAATTCTATTTCTTTAAAAAACGAAGCACCCCCTCATGGCATGCATATGACTCCATTGAAGACAGAGAGGGAGTAAAGATGGCTCTTATAGTCATGAGCCAAGGTCAGTCCCTTGGACTTGGCCTTCAAAAAGTAGAAGTTCAGATTTACACAACTCTGTACACATATGATTCTGTACTGGAACCTACCTGTGGTGTTGGGCAGCCATTGATGATGTTGGGGCCCATCCTTGCACACTCGAGCAGGTCGAAGAAGAACAAATACGGTTTGTCCCTAAAAGCAAATTTGGAAACATCATTACTGGAGCATATGGTAATAGTATTCAAAACTCACACCATATAGTGCCTTAAATCTTCATCACATTTCACAAAGAAATTGAAGCACTTTGACAGTCGTAAGTCTATGTTAAACTACAGGATTTACGACAATCATAGTGTTAAGATTGTTTTGTGAAGCAAGGCAGGGAGTCCATAGAAATTACTGGAATAATTTACATACCTGATATCAGATAAAAACAAATATGACTTTCAAATGCTTACATATCAGCAATCACTACCAATCACCTACTTGGCCCTTGACACGACTCATGGTAAGGCCAGACCAATTTTATTTCTTGTTTTATGGATTTTTGTCCGCAGAAAACCTAAAGGCAGGAGGGGAAAAAAAATAAAAATAAAATCACCAAGGTAATATTTCTTCTAAATACTCAAATTATGGTACTTTTGGCAATTTCTGAAATGTATATGGGGCAAAAACAATCTAAAAACATTTTTTTGTGTATGTTTACATTTTTGGCCAATAAAAACATTACGATTTTATTTTTTGAGCGGGGAAAAAAAAATATACGACAGGCGGATCCGTAAAACAAGAAATAAAATTGGTCTGGCCTAATGACTAAACAAAACTTTTGCAAGATGTTAAAAATATGACATTTCTCAGATGTCCAACTGGTTTGATATGGTAACAGCAGTCAACTTAGACAAAGGATCCCAATTTACATATTTGGCTTAATAATCAAATCAGATATGTACCAAGAGCTATTTATGCATTGTTTTTTAATCCAGCTAGGCTAATAATGTAAGTAAAAGAATGTAACCCAAAACATGAGGCTTTGCCTTAACAGTTTGTGTTCTGCTTGATCATAGAGAGGGACACTAATCACGCTGAAGGGGTCGTTGTCGGCACGGATACTACAGAAATGTACCATAAACAAAGCAAAAATTTAGAAATGTACGAGGTACCCTTAACTTCGGACGAGGCCATATTCAGCAACCTAAAACTGAAATTTGACGTAGTTGTTCCCATTCAACTGATTGCAAGTGGTACTGTATATCACGAAATATTTGTTTCTGTGTTAGCTCGTTTCTAATATAATGCAATCAAATGCATCTAATACAACAGTATGACACTTCAGATCAAGTGTGAGTGAGTGAGTGACTTTAGTTTTACATTGCTTTTAGCAATATTCCAGCAATATCACAGCAGGGGACACCAGAAATGGGCTTCACACATTGTGCCCATGTGGGGAATCGAACCTGGGTCTTCAGCGTGACAAGCGAACGCTTTAACCACTAGGCTACCCCACTGCCCCTTCAGATCAAGAAAAAGGCACAATGCGGAATGGACTCGTCCTGGGTATGTTTCTGTATTCTGATTTTGGTTACTGCACATCTGTAGTGCCCGTGCTGACAACCCATTCGGAACTAAGGACTGCATGTCAACCAAAAAACTAAACCTGCTTATTTCAGGGCTCGATTTAAGCATTTAGAACTTGCACTGGTGCGACCTGAAACTGTTAAATGCGACCTCTTATGTGTATCAACTTGCACCCAGTGCATGTTGATATTTTGTGTTCCAAGAACACAGACTTCAGCTGGAAAACAGAATGATGAGGAACTGACTTGGGAAAGTGACTCTGATTATTGTAGGAACACAGGACTTGCTGTTCATGAAAGTTTGGGAAATAAGATAACTACAGATTTCTTTTGTTATAATACTGTTCTAAAGTGTCATAACCAAAACTCAAGCATTATATAAGATTTAATATTAAACGGTAGGTGCAACCTGTTTTTGTTTGGTGCAACAAGGTGATTGCCTTAGGTTGCACTGGATGCAAGTAGGCTTCATTTCCTTTAATCGACTCGTTATTTGCATGAGTTATCTTTAATTCCCTTCTTCAAAGACCGCCTCTGTGGTGTAGTGGTTAGAGCGTCCGCCCGGGAGAGCGGAAGGTCGCGGGTTCGATCCCCGACCGCGTCATACCAAAAGACGTTAAAACATGGTACTTGTTGGTCCCTGCCTGGCGCTCGGCAATAATGGGTACAACAAGGACTGGTCGGCTCGGAGTCAGAATAATGTGTCTGAGTGGGGTATTCATGCTTCACTGCGGCATGGTATCTCAGTGGGCTAGCACTATAAAACCAGCTTAAGTCTGGGTTAGTACAAGCAGCCGCACATACACAAACACACGCATGCACGTCGTCATATGAGCGAAATATTCTCAAGCACGATGTTAAACCCAATTTCACTTCACCTCACCCTTCTTTAAAAGAAATTGAAGAGATTCCTTTGCTGGATGTCAACAAAACAACATCTTGATTAATCTTTCTAACAGAACAACCAATTACTTGACTGAACATTGTATCATTTCTGATTTTTTTCTTAAAACAAGCCTCCCCAAAACCAGCACTGAAATGGCCACTCAATAACTTGCTCAAAGAACAGATAAAACTACAGTTATGTTCACAGAGATCAATAATCTTGTGTCTATTGTGTAATTACTTGAGTTCTCCAATGCCGCATATTTTTCCACTGGAGTCCGTTGGGTGGATCAGTCGCATAGGGTCGCCACGAGAATAGCCTGGGGGAGACAAGTGATAAATGTAATTAGCATGTGTGGTTGGTTGGCCTTTGTGGGGCATGATGCAGTGAGACACATATATGTAAAACAATTCTGGTGAGAATTGGAGACGAAAATGTCAATTATTCTGAAGTGTTAACTCAGAGGTTAATTTGTTAGTGTCAATGCTAACAGTCTTCAAGACTTGTTTCCACGATGCTGCTTATTCGGGAAACAGATGATGATTGGTATAAACCTGACAAACGTGGAACTGTGTTACAGGCCAATTCTTCCAACGGGGAAGTAATAGCCTATGCCAGTTCTTCACCAATATTGCACATTTTCCTATGTGAGGACTCACAACTAGTGTTGGGAATCGGAAACCAAATCCACTATCGATTATTGGAGGATTGTGGTGAACGATTATAGATTATAATAGAAATATATACATTTTTAATGTAATCACCAATTTTAAGGGGTTTTCCCCAGTTTTTTTCTTATTAATGTTTTTTTTATAACTAATGCTGCCATGCAATGAAATGTACGCATGCAAGAAAGACAGTGGAATTGTAACTAAACAATAAAAGTGGTTAAAATTTTACAATGTGTATAGCTTTACGCTGTTGAGTGCATGTTTGTTCGTGAATATTCGTAAAATTTGATGGTTAGTTTACTTCATTCAAGGGTGTTCTACGAAAACAACAAAATTCTGATTAATCGAAAATATGTTTTTTACAATCGATAATCATTTTTAATCCTTCTTTCGATAGATTTTTTGATTATTTTCGATCATCGGAACATCACTACTCACTGACTGACTGAGTATGGTTTTACGCCGCTTTTAGCAATATTCCAGCAACATCACGGCGGGGGACACCAGAAATGGGCTTCACACATTGTACCCATGTGGGGATTCAAACCCGGGGTCTTCGGTGTGACGAGCCAATGCTTTAACCTCACAACTCTCAACCCAGCCCCCTCCCCCGACAACACTTAGACAGTTGGTACCCATTTTGGGCACTATTGATGGGACCAGGCCCCTCATCAGAAAAACATCCAAAATGATCCCGGATTTAAAAATGACTTGTAAAAGAACGTCATAACCATGTGTGTTTCCCAATTATAAATACACTTAACAAAAAAAATAATCTATGAATAATCCTTGCATAATTCAGAATATACTTAGAATTATAATATATATCTATGGTATAGAAACACTTTTGCCACATGGTATCTATTTCCCTTTTACATAACCGTATCACTTTCTGAATATCAATGCACATGCTCTTATGACAATCAGCTGAGGGAGTACAGATAACCATACCCCTCACCCCTCACCAAACTTTTCTATGCATTCATGTAGACGATGGAAATTACTAATATTTGATAGCTTTCCTTAAACTTGCATATGTCTCTTTGGTAATAGTTTAAATTACATTTCTCGATTCTATAAATAATAATAATAAGTTGTCCTTATAATAGACTGTCTTCAAGTCTTTAGTTCTTGACAAAACCAGAAGGCAATTCCTGGGTTCTGTATTGGAGACCGCCATATAGCTGGAATATTGCTGAGTGCAGCGTAAAACTAAACTCACCCACTCAACTATATTGCATCCTCGATAATCTCCAGGGTATACGTTACGATAACTCTCCACTATACCCTGGATGCATCTACAGCTCAGCCCCATGATTTTATAACCTCCCTTTGCTGGCTCCGCATTCTCACAGTAGCCAATCAGATACAACCGCTTGCCAGTGTCAACAAAATTGCGGTCGCAGCCGCCAAAGTTTGTTCGCAGAGCGACTCAGATTTGGGGTGAAAACATACAGACAAATTGACAGGTCTGAAACCTTAAAAAAATATATGCAAGAACTCCTTCTTTCAGAGTATCTGCAAAGCTATAGTATTGTGTTGACAAGTTTAATCAGTTAGATAATTTAAAAAGCGAAAGTGAGTTGTGATTGGCAGCTGAACTTCCCAGCGTAGACACCTGACTGGATAAACAGCCAACCGAGGGAGCTAATAAAATCATCGGCTCAAGCCGTAGATGCATCCAGGGAATAGTGGAGAGGTATCGTAACATATACCCTGGAGATTATCGGGGATGACTATATTGGAGACTCTGCAATTTCCATCCAGTCTGAGGCACACAACCTGGCATGGTCTTCGACTTAGACAACTTCATCCAGAGCATATTATCACATCCATAGTATCAGCATGGACATCTCCAATCCAGGTCCCATCATCAGCTACGATGTTATGGACCTATTTACTAATGTACCTAGAGAAGAAGCGCTCCAAGCCTTACGCAACAAAATTGACAAACTTCCACAACCCCTCAATACCAGCCTCTCAACCGACTCCATCAGTCTCACACAGCCTGCATCAACTCCACTTATTTCACCTGGGGGGACGGGATCTTCGAACAAATTCATGGACTTCCCATGGGCTCCCCCTTATCCCCCCATCCTAACCGAAATTTACATGACGGACCTGGAAGATAAAGCACTAGATACTGCACCCTTCAAACCTACGTGTTGGTATCGCAAAATGGATGATACCTTTGTCATCCTCCAACCTCAGCAAGATCCCACTGAGCTTCTCACCCATCTCAACAACCAACATCCCCGCATCAAGTTTACCATGGAAACCGAGCAGAACCAGCAAGTACCTTTCCTTGACGTCCTTGTGTCCCGCACCTCCTGCAACCAACTCCAGACCACTGTATATAGAAAACCTACCCATACAGATCAGTACATCCACTACAACTCCAATCATCCACCTAAAGTTAAGACCGGCATCATCTCCACATTAACCAGAAGGGCCAAGAACATCTGTTCAAATAAACTACAAGATGAAATCGAACACCTCAAGAAAGACTTCGTAGAACTTAACCACTTTCCATCCTAAATAGTCAACAGAACCATTGCTGCAACCCTGTCACCTCCTACCAAAAGACCCAAACCAGATTCAGCCCCCATCAAGATATCCATCCTCTACATTGGCAAACCGTCACATCAAATCAGCCGTCTCCTAAAACAACAAGCTGGCATAGATACCACCTTCTCCGCGTCCTCCAGCCTTAACAACATTCTCCATGCCAATGGAAGAAAACCAGCACCGTCAAGAACAACAACCCAAAATGTGTCATCTACAAAATAAACTGTGATTGTGGGCAGACTAGCTACATAGACGAAACCGAAGCCATCCACATCAAACGCCAAAAGCCCACCATCAACCGAGAGCATGGATACTTCATTCCGTCCGCTTATGATGCACTCATCCACCAAGCCCAATCTACAGTATAAACTCTCTGCTGTATAAACATGTCATTATTATTTGTACATCATTGGCTTCTACGCCTGTCCTTTGTCTACTCTCTGGCTTCAGCAGCTTAATGCCTAGCCAATTATGTTAATTATGTTGTTTTCTTTGTTACATTGTTACATCCAGTATATATATATACTTCCCCCTTCTTCATGTTCCATAAATGCTTGACAACGGTACAAGAATCTGTATCGAAACATCACACTCACGAATAAAAAGAAGTTGTTATCCATAAAGTTTGTTCTATATTGTACTTCTCAAAAACTAAAATGCCACTCAAAGAAGTATCAGCATGGTCAGAAGATATCTTGGTTGCAACTAATCATGGCTGATCATCACTTATATATACTACAAACAAAAAGTATGGGAACCCCCTAAAATTTGATAGTCATATATAAACTGAAACGTGGTGAGGTCATTTACACTCTAAGGTAAATGCAACTTTGTGTGAGCTTAATAGGCACTTTAAACGACATGTTGGAACATGCAGTGAAGCAACTGATTCAATATTCGTTGAGTTTGAGTGAAATGGAACATTGTCAAAAAAAGCGAAAACAAGGGTGCTGAAACACACCAACACCATGTTTGATTCAAACGCCCAAACACAACACACCGAAAAAATTAATGTCTATTTTCCCATGGAGCAAGGGATACAACATGTCACCATCTATAAAGTGATCCCTACCTAAAGCTACCTCCAAAAAATATTCCCAATCTAAGCTAAATTGGGAACATTTCTTCATCTAAGAAGCGACCCCTACCTCTTAAGCTACCTCCAAGGAATGTTCCCAATCAACACTATATTATAACCTCATCTATGAAGCAATCACGATTGTAGCACCAGCACAACAACAATCTGTTCATTTGAAAATATACATTTTTGTCGTGACTTCTGTTGTGTCTATATGATGCTTGGTTGTGTAGAACTCCTGCATTATGTGACAGTGCCATCTAATGTGTTGAAAGCTGAAGGACCAAATTGGTGACCACAAAACAGCTTGTTGAATTTAAGAACAAAAATAAGAGAGGAAATCATCCTGAAGTCTACAGACATCTGAAAGTGGTCTGAAGAAGAAATAATAAGTAATCATGTTGACAAACTGACTCAGGCTATGAATAAAACATGCTGAAACCCAGGCAGAGGCCTGGTGAATCTGCTTCTTTCCATTCTTCAAGAGCTTTTTACTCATAAAGTTTGACTGCATTAATGTATAAGCTCTCAAACTCCATCCCAATACCCATCTCCCTGGACAGCGTACAGGTCTCATAACAATCTCCTCCTACCGGGTACCCACCATCTGCTAGGTGAACAGGTAAGGAGAGTAATCTTAAAGAGCTAACAGACCACATTCCACTTAAACTAACAGATCAGGCTCCACATACATGAACATACCACATTCCACTTAAACTAGCAGACCCGATTCCATATAAGCCAAAAGGTCAGATTTCTCTAACTGGCCACATAAAAGCTAATAGACCTGATTCCACAAAAGCCAACCAAGACACCAAGCCATGAATACAAACAAGGACATAATGAATGGTCTCTTACACCGAACCTCAAACATTATTCCGCATGAAATATACCTTTGATAATTCCAAAATACTTCTGTTTCAAAACAAATATGATGATAATCTCTTGGCTCCTTTCTGTTATATGTTTACATCAAATTATCAACAAAATATTTGTTGACAGTATCAGGGCAGTTGAATGGTGATGAGTCCTAGCCTAGCCAAATGGTGGTGTTTGGTCCATTTCTAACAAAGAAACATCTAGACATGTAAGACAGCTGGAATATAAGCATGAAATGAGATCCATTATTTAACACAATATCTATAATGATTCACCGAGGTGGACACTTCCATTACTGACACAGCATATTCTGTACAAAGACAACAATTTCAGGAACCAGACAGAATTGACAGCTGTTACACCAAGCATCGTGATCAACATGCATAAGATACAAAACCAAAAAAAACAAAGCTGTTGACAGGAAATAATTCTGGTAGGCTGCAATAAATAAATTCACAGATTTTCATCCCTGCAAGAAAACAGCTATCTTATTATTTAATTGTCTCTCAGTATGCAGAGTACTGACAAAGTACAAACTGTGTTCCCTTATTCCTTGTGTGAGGTAATACGCTTGACATTCAAAACTGCTTCCACGTCTACCCGTGAAGGTCCGGTCTAGAATTGATCTTCAGTAGCCTTGTGGTCCAAGCGTTCACTCATTACGCTGAAGACACGGTTTTCATTCCTCATGTGTGTACAATGTGTAAAGCCCATTTCTGGTGTCCCCCGCTGTGATATTACTGGAATATTGCTGGAAGCGACATAAAACTAAACTCACAGCATGTCACAAGAAATGGGAATCACACATGTACCCATGTGGGAATCGGACCCAGATCTATCTATGTGACAAGTGAACACTTTAAACACTAATTTACCTCATCGCCCTTCAAAACTGCTCTGCATGTTGATATGTTTGACATGAGAAGACATGCAGGTGAGATTCTGAGACAATATCTACACAGGCCTTTTAAACTCTCATGCTGTGAAATGATTTTGAATCAAGCCATTAGAGTGAGTGAGTTTAATTTTACGCCACACTCAACAATATTCCAGCTATATGGCGTCGGTCTGTCAATAATAGAGTCTGGACCAGACAATCCAGTGATCAACAGCATGAACACCGATCTATGCAATTGGGATGCGATGACATGTGTCAACCAGGCAAGCCATTAGATAGTTACTGTTTACGATGAATATGTTTGTCATGTTAACAGGTTAGCTACTGAGAAATATACATAAAAATGTGACCAACCTCACATTTTGGACAATTTAGGAAGATCTAAAAAATATATCTACTGTGGCCTATCTGGAATATTATCAACCAATCTCACTGGAAATCTGCCTCCAATGCAAATGACCACAGCTAATTAACTTTAATGTCCTGCCAGTATCTCAAGAGGAATGGACTGATTCCACCAGACTGGCTGCAAGTGGCCCAGAGTCACAGAGGGACTGATATATACGACCATGTACTCTTGTCTATTTCATCAGAGAGGTAATCCATTTCACATGAGTTAGGCGTGTTAATGTTGTCTCCAGATGATACAACTGTTCAGGAAAATTGATTTTCTGATTTCTGAGCATATTGTGTTATGTGTTATCAGAGAACTGCATAGAAACAGTTGGTCAGACGGCACAAGTGAGGTCAAGGTCACACTTGATGACATCTAGGGAGAGAAGAAATGACCGACTTGACGCGAAAAATCTGAGTCTATAGCTACTAACAAAGTTCTGTGAATCTGATCATCACAAGTCAATTTTTGTAGAAATTGAATCTGAATAAATGTTGCTGTGACTTCTCTTAGAAAATTTGGTGATAGAAAAATACATTACATAAAACACCCAGATAAGCTGTGTGCATTTAAGAAGTGTATCTTCAGCTCTGATATGATGTATATTTTGCACAAGAAACATTATTTCACGAAATTAATTCATCATGACCCAATTAATTTTGAGTAGTTTTCTTTCTTTTAGTTTTCAGGATCTGTTGTATCCACAGAGTGTTTAGTTTTACGCCGCACTCAGCAATTTTCCAGCTATATGGTGGCAGTCTGTAAATAAACGTGTCTGGACCAGACAATCCAGTGATCAACAGCATGAGCATTGATCTACGTAATGTTTCAACCAAGTCAGCGAGCCAAACCACCCTGTCCGTTAGTTGCCTCTTACGACAAACATTGGTTCTGAAGATCAACTGTAATCCGGATCTGCACTCAAAGCCAATATAACATAATTTCAAAAATAAAGAATGTAGCATCACTATTCATCATGATTTTTTGCAACCAAAGGCATTAGCTGTTGGTTATTGTCTGTCAAACCATGACCAGGAGTACATCCTTACCCAGTATGGAGACGACGATGCTACCAATGATGAAGAGGATGAAGAGGATGCAGCAGATGATGTCGGTACACGACCTGAAACACAAAGCAGGAGTAAGTGAGTTGGGGGAGTTTAGTGAGTGAGTGAACTGGCTTGAGTGAGCGAGTGAATTGGGTTGAGTGAGCGAGTGAGTGAGTGAGTGAGTTTAGTTTTACGCCGCTGCTTTTAGCAATGGGGGACACCAGAAATGGGCTTCACACATTGTACCCATGTGGGGAATCGAACCCGGACCTTCAGCGTGACGAGCGAACGTTTTAACCATTAGGCTACCCCACCGCCCTAGTGAGCGAGAGTGAATTGGGTTGAGTGAGTGAGTGAATGGGGTTGAGTGAGTGAGTGAGCTGAGTGAGTGGTCTTGACACTATGATGTACTTTTGACACTGTGTGAGACAATATCAACACTGCATGAATCATTACAACAGTGAAGTTTCTCATTATCCTGATTTAATTGTCCCTTTTCATATAGCTTTGATATGTTGAATGCAACAAACAACAAACAAAACAAGGATGAGTGAGTGAGTGAGTACCGTTACAGAGTATAGATGTCAGAAATAGGTCCAATCAAGAAGTTTTTACAGTACTAAGGATGTCAGTAATGTGTGTATGCTCTTTTGAGTCACATGCACATTGCTGTGTAATTATCAGGGTTATTGTTTAGGCATGTGGTAATCATGTAGATTTGTTTGTTTGTTCTTTTACACAGTAATCATCAATATTCCAGCTATATGGCGGCGGTCTGTTAATAATCGAGTCTGGTCCAGACAATCCAGTGATCAACAGCATGAGCATCGATCTACGCATTTGGGATACGATGACATCTGTCAACCAAGTCAGCAAGCCTGACCACCCGATCCTGTTAGTCAATTCTTACGACAAGCAAGGGTTACTGAAGGTTCATTCTAACCGGGGTCTTCACGGGTTGTAATAATGTAGAAAAAACAGCCCTTGAAAATCATAACAATGTCCTAATGCTGTCAATTTCTCACAAAATCTATCAGAGTATATTTTTCTTACCAGGTAGAATTGAACAAATTGTTGAAATGTCACATCCAATAGTCAAACTGAACACATCATTAGTGACAAACCCAGACACATACAAAAGTCTATGTATAAAAAACACCTTCGCTGACTCAGCACAATCCATATGCTTTCAATCTGAACTAAGCCTGTATATATATATATCACCCTAAACTGATTTTATTACATACAGAAAACCAAACCAAAACATCTACAGAAAATAAATTTAACTAGGCCGTGTCGATTATGAGATGGCTGCTCGCTGGAGGAATGTAATTCCTACACCATGTTAATTACAGTAACAGGATGTAATATCAACAGTAGTAGCAGGATTTCATCTGAGCTGAAGATCAGTGCACAGAACTGAGTGCTCCCTGCTTCACTGGACTGATAACCACTGGAGCAAGTGTAGACTTGGTCTGTCTCACAGTCCCTGGACCACATTAGTTTCCCTACTGCCAAGCCCTCTCTGCAGTGCTAAAGCCCTAAATGAAGCAAGATTTCCTCAGGTTCCTCTGAATCTCTGGTCTCCCTAGGGATCCTTTTCAATTTAAATGGGCTTGTTTGTTACTATCAAAATATATATTCAGAGACAAAGCGTTAGTGTAGTGTAGCCTTGCTCCAAGGCTGTACTGAATGTAAGCCCATGGATGTATACCATGAATGGATGTATTGAGCAAAACCTGCGAGTAAAATGACACAATACTGGAATATATTTCTCAGATAGTTTCAGACACTGCATCAGAATTCATCTCGTTATATTATCGGGTATGTTTTAACTAAATCACCAGTAGGGGAACGTGTGCACTGCACAGCTAATTGCTATTTCTGGCTCTGAAAACGAGACAATTACACATGGTAATCTTAATGCCTGCATATGAGACAATGCCTAGCAAAATCAAATTAGAACTGAACAGGTAAATAATCTTGTCTAGTGATGTTTAATTGCAAATTTGATGTCTTTACTGACAAAAGTAATCTTCTCTTGTTTGTTCACGAGAAGCGATATGTCATTTTCTTACCCCTGAAAAAAGGTTTGACGAAAGTGTAACCCATACATAAGCCGACCCCCTTCTACAGACTCCTCAAAATTCGGCTTATCTACGGTAATATATGGTAGTAATTCTATCCTGTAAAGAGGCAAGTTTATGGAAGAATATATGCAACTTCTGTTAGAGGGATATTTATATTTTTTCTTAGAAATTGTCATTTAAAATATTAATTATTACAAGAAACTCATGCAAGTCTACCTTGCTCCAAGGCTGTACTGAATGCTAAGCCCATGGATGTATAGTAATTTTATCCTTTAAAGAGGCAAGTCTAAATAAGCGTCAAGGATGCCAGTCTTTCATTGAGGCATGTCAATGTCTTGTACATCACACTGTGGACCCTGTCATGCTTGTAGCCAGGGTGTGTGTATTGCAACCATGCTGTTGTTCATTACGATAGGGACACAAGTGATGCATAAATACTGAACTTTTTCAGGCAGGGCAAGGAGTCAAGTTGTGGCTTCCTGTGTTGTGTTAGAAATGACTTAGATATAATCTAGATTGAGTTCCAACGGAACAAGAATCTGTATCGAAACGCCGCACTCATGATATAAAAGAAGTTGTTATCCACAAAGTTTGTTCAATATTATTATTTATTACCTTAGAGACTTGTGCAAGTCTACATCAAGTGTACCAAGAGGGTGGTCGCCTAAATCCAGACAGGTTTCTTAAACATGCTGAATATTCAAATCGCGTTTTCTTGAGATATTTTATCAAGGGGTTAGCAAACATTGCTTCAAAATAGACATGGCTAAGAGTCGACCTTGAAGTCTTGTTGTTCATGTTGTGTTTGTTTGTTTATTCATGTTGTTTGTTGTTGCTAGTTTATATTTCCTGAGTTTATATTTCATATCTAGTTTAATGATCTTTTAGTATGCCTGAGGTTAGGGATCGTTGATAATTTATGGCTGGGGGGGATGATGAGGATTTTTATGGAGAAGCATGTACAATGTGAATCACACCCCACCCCGACCCCCTAAAATGCATGTACAAAGTAAGTGACCCCCCTGTATGTCATGTACAAAATTGCTGACAAACCAAAAACTTGATATTCAATTCAAGCTTGTGTAAGTCCATTTTCCACCATCAAATAGCTGTATTATGCAAAAACATTGTATATATGATTTGAATATGCATACATCAGTATTCCAGAAACCAGTTATTAATATGTTAATATACATATTCATCCTGCATGCTAGCAGACCAAAATATATCAACCAGGAAACAAAACTCATAAACAAGCAAAAATAATTTTCAGTAAGTTAAAAAAACTTCCCTAAATTATGATAGCACAAAACTTATCAAAACTTGTAAATTATCAATTTCCTACCTTTCCCAACTTTTGACAAACCTAAAATCCCCACATGAAAACGGTGACCCCAGTTCCTTAAATCATGAGCCACACAATTCCTAATTCCTATATGTTTTGACTTACAATTTGTATTATATAATATGTTGTATGGGTACGGTGCTAATATCAGCTATAACAGCTTGTTCACCAATCACTATTCATTTATTGAATAAAAATGCTTAAATCAACATTTGACCAACCCTCCGCAAATCAAGACCCCACTTCCTTAAATCATGGCCCCCCACTTCCCTTATCATGGCCCCCCACTTCCCATGGCCCCCACTTCCCTTATCATGGCCCCCACTTCCCTTATCATGGCCCCCACTTCCCCCCACTTCCCCCTTATCATTATCATGGCCCCCTTCCCCTTCCCTTATCATGGCCCCCCACTTCCCTTATCATGCCCATTTCCTTCGGAACTCATGACCATCCTACCATTACAAATACAATCAACTGTAATCATCTGGTTATGAAATACATATGAATCACCTCTGTCCAGCATGAGAGTCCTTCAGACCCTGTGACAGTGTATAGCATCTCTTAATGTCCCCTGTCCTGTAGCTCTTCTAGGTTTTATGAGGTCATTGCTGGTAGGGAAGTACACACAAACATAACTTGCCTCCAGCAATATCCCTCAACTGGAACATCTCACACTCCAGACAAACACCACTGTGTACAGTACACCATGTTTTAACGAACATGCTCATAGCAAACTGATGGATATAGCAAACTGATGGATATGGCAAACTGATGGATATGGCAAACTGATGGATATGGCAAACTGATGGATATAGCAAACTGGTTTTTTTGTTTTTGCGTCCTGCCCACTTGCTGTCTGTTTTTTGTCAAGATGCCTGTAAAGAATGGTATGGTATGCTCGTCAAACTGGGGGCTGTGGGGCACCCAAGTGGTTAAAGCGTTCGCTCGTCATGCCAAACACCCTGGTTCGATTCCCCACAATGTGTGAAGCCCATTTCTGGTGTCCCCCATCATGATATTGCTGGAATATTGCTTAAAAGCAGCATAAAACCATACAATTACTCACTTACTGTAAAGAACTGCTGTTGTAGCAAACTAAAATTACCCAATCATCCCTTGTAACCATAGTTACATGCTCCATGAAGTAACATCATCACTTCCTTAGAATGCTCATTTCTTTTGTTTTGTTTTGTATTGTTTGTATAATGCCACACCTAGCAATATTCCAGCTGTTTGGCGACAGCCTGAAAATAATCCAGCCTGGACTAGACAGTGAATGAAGTAAATGACATAGATGAATGTTTTATCTCTGAATATAAATAATTTTGATTGTAACAAATGAAAGATATTGACAAGGAGCCCGCCCACTGAGCTCTGAAGCTGAAGCTGAAGATAATCCAGTCTTGCTTCATTTAGGACTTACAGAAAGGGCTAGGCTTAAGGGAAAATAAATGTGGCTCAGGGCCTATGAGACAGACTATGAATGATATTATGATCAACGATCTGTGTAATTGGAGGACCATGATTAATGATGTCACTCAGCCCGACCACTTGATAGATTCCAAACATTGCACACTGTAGCAAGTTATTTTGGTTTAACACAACCTTGAACAATATTCAGTTATATCAGAGTGTGTTGAGGTTTCAAACATAGAAGCCCTTAAGGTCATTTTAAGTTTCCATTACTGTAGATTGGTATGTACTGTGGCTGGGATATCTAGTTAAACATGTCTTTGAATCATGCTGTAAGAATGTTACTTGTCATTTACAACTGTCTCATCCTTCACAACAGTGTGGATACATCACAAACTCCTTGCATTTATTATCTCTAATTCAATGGGGTGGTGGGGTAGCCTAGTGGTTAAAGCGAGATACGCTGAAGATGACCTACATGGGTACAATATGTGAAGCCCATTTCTGGTGTCCCCCTGCTGTGATATTGCTGGAATATTGGTAAAAGCAGCGTAAAACTACACTCACTCACTCACTCTCATTTAAAGTTCACATTGATGACAACTATTCAAATCATTTGTTCAGAATAAAAAATAATAAATTTCATCCCCTGACTTGTTCTTCTCACTAAAAAAATACTCTTCAGTATGAAACTATTTATTAAGCAGAATAAGTGCACATAATTGATCAAGAGTATATTCTGATCATAATGAAAACATTTTTATATCAAGGTCACATGATCAATATAAACATTGAAATATTGTCTTAATACACGTGTTTCTTTAAAATACACCCTAGCTATGTTTTCCAACATACACCAACAAGCACCTTTGGTACATACTGCATGCCTACCTAAAAACCATGCCATGAAATAATATCTGGTATTATGTAATTAATATGATTATACATGACAGTTTTTCGCCAGCACCCAGTTTCTATGGATGAGGCTGGAGGTTAATGATGTGTTCCTATGGCAATGGTGTATTAATACACTGTATATCTCTACACGGCCCTTAAGCAGATGCTGTCGTCATTATGTAATACCACTTGGCAGAAAAGCAAAAACTGACTCAACAAGTGCGGATATCATCAGCTACGGAAATAGACATCTTCATGGCAGCATCCATGTTTACTGACAAGGTCAGGGGTTGATGCTCTGTTTGTTCACAGTAACACTTTCCTCCACTGTATTCTTGGTGTAAGGATTATCAAGGATTATTCTGAGAGATCCCAGGAGAAGTGGTGTCTGTATTGTGGTTAAAACATTTACATTATCTTTGTTAATTCTGTTCCATAATTGTTAATATTGTTTATTCTATTGATCATAATCACCATAGAAATGGGGATTTTCTTTGACTGCTTTTATGGAAACAATTTACTATCCTTTTAGATCACATGGCTTTTATCATCTTATATAGATTTTGTTCAATAATTGTTAACACATTTTACACTATTGATCATACTCATCATCACTGCAATGGTAATTTTCTTGGAAACAATTTTCCATTCCAATTTTACATTCTGTTCAATAATAGTTAAAATCTTTTACACAATTGATCATAATCATGAGTTAACTCAAACAATGTACCATCCTTTTAGATATAAATCATCTTTTAAAAACAAAATGAGGGAATTTTATTCCAAATTGTTAGTCTGAATTTTGAACCTGATTGTTGCATTCATGAACTGATGACTTAAACCGTCATACCTTTGTTTGCTTACCATGGGGCCTCATAATATCTGTCTCCATTCCTGATTTCAATGCTTACAGGGCATTTTTTGGTTCGTAAAACTCCAAGGAACTCATTTTGAGAAAAACATCAACAGCATTAAAAAATGTGGGCAATTGAATCTTAACTGTAGGAAATTGAAATGCATACACCTTTTATTTATCTACATTACCTTCCAGCTGAAATCCAGCGTCAACCACCACCTGACTAAGACTACAGACGTGTCACATATTTACATATTTACCTAACTCAAATACAATCATTTTTTACTTGCCAAATTAAAAATCTATGGCATTTCAAACACAACAGAGGAAGCCACAACTTGAATTCCCTGCCCTGCCTGAAAAAGTTCAATATTTATACATCACTTGTCCCCCATTGCAATGAACGACAGCATGTTTGCAATACACACTCCCTGGCAACAAGCAGGACAGGGTCAACAGTGTGATGTACAAGACATTGACATGCCACAATGATTGATAGTGAGTGATGTGCTTCAGTGAGGAATACAGCCCTTGGGCACTCATTTCCAGTGTAGGCATAGATGTGGTACATTTCTCTATATCTGGCTGTAAGATTCAGAAATAGGTGCTCGTTATCTCAAGGCGGGTAACTCTTCTGTTTGTATGGACAAATAGCTTCCTAACTTCTCAACATTTCTGCATTTATTATTGGAAATATGGAAACCATGGTAGCTGAGAGGGATAGATTGCTGATTTTGTGTGTTGGCATTAGGTGACTAATACTCAGTGTGGCTCATTTTAATTTGCATGTATATTCATATGAGAGCCTACAATTTTCAATATGGGATGATTATATTACAAATATATATTAATAAATATCATATAATAAAAATATCGTATAATAATAAATCAACAAACTGTCTGAATTTTGAGAAAGTTGAACCTCCCCACTACCTAACATCTGGGCAAACCATTAGTTGCTTCTGTCTATCAATTTTGGTTCATAAAAGATTGTTGGTTGGTTTGTTGTTTAACGCCGCACTCAGCAATATTCCTGCTATATGGCGGTTATCTAAAAATAATCAAATCTGGACCAGACAATCCAGTGATCAACAGCATGAGCATCGTTCTATGCAACTGTGATAGCAACCAAGTCAGCCAACCTGACCAACCCGATACAGCTAGTCGCCTCTTACGACAAGCATGGGTTACTGAAGACCAATTCTACGCCAGATCTTCACGGGTGTTGTGAACAGAATGAGCTTCACACTTTGTATTCATGTGAAGCACTGAACCAGACAAATGAACACATTAACCACCAAGTCCAAGATGTGTTTGTTTGTTGTTTAATGCCGCACTCAGCAATATTCCAGCTATCTGGACGGGGTCTGTAAATAATTGAGTCTGGACCAGACAATCCAGTGATCAACATTATAAGCATCTGAGCACTGACCTATGCAATTGGGATACGATTACATGTGTCAACCAAGTCAGCGAGCCTGACCACCCGATCCCGTTAGTTGAATTCCAACCTGGATCTTGACGGGTCTCCAAGGCGTGGGGAAATCAAGGTGACTCACCTGTTGTGTATTGGGCCCTTGAAGGTGGGGTCATACTGATTGGGCGTACCTGGAAACAGAACGACAGGTGAGAGACAGAATGTCGACAGACTGATAAATCGTCAATCTCAAATGGCCCACTGTACTAATTACACTTCTGTTGCACTGTACAAGCTTAATGATTTGCATTAATTATAAAAACGGTATATGATATATATTTATATATGGACCAAAATAGACCAACTCACCACACTTCTAAGCATCTTAGAAGTGTGTTGATAAATGACTAGCATTTTAAGATTGGTAATGTGATTCTACAATATTAACAGTACTGTTTTGAAGCCTGGGACCTCTATTTCAGCACCTGGGACCTCTACATCTAAGGGTTAGGAGTCCATGGGCTTATACAGGGATGCGGTTGTAAAAGCAATTTTAGCGCTAAGGTGACCGTAACTCCCATACCATAACACAGACTTAAGGTAGCTAAAGCACTAAGGTGACCGTAACTCCCATACCATAACACAGACTTAAGGTAGCTAAAGCACTAAGGTGACCGTAACTCCCATACCATAACACAGACTTAAGGTAGCTAAAGCACTAAGGTGACCGTAACTCCCATACCATAACACAGACTTAAGGTAGCTAAAGCACTAACCGTCTCCATACCATAACACAGACTTAAGGTAGCTAAAGCACTAAGGTGACCCGTAACTCCCATACCATAACACAGACTTAAGGTAGCTACTTATATCATAACACAGACTTAAGGTAGCTAAAGCACTAAGGTTGTTTTAGTACAAGGTGACCGTAACGCCCATACCATAACACAGACTTAAGGTAGCTAAAGCGCTACGGTTGTTTTGTACAACTGCACCCTGTTCCCCGGTAAAGATATCCAAACCAGGAACTGAACAGTTTGGCCTGATATTACGTAGCATGCCATATCACTGCTTTCCATGACCTGCACCAATCATCAGAGGTTAATTACATCATTAGCTGCAAGCCCTGACATTTATCGGCTGTGGTAACGAGTACATATAGCATAGGCCTGGATTGTTGATCATCTGTTGATCACCTCCATGTCAGCGTATTGTCTTGTATTGTATATAATCTGTATACACTGAATACATACATACATACATCAGTGGTATATACTTATAGCATAGGCCTGGATTGTTGATCATCTGTTGATCACCTCCATGTCAGCGTATTGTCTTGTATTGTATATAATCTGTATACACTGAATACATACATACATACATACATACATACATACATACATACATACATACATACATACATACATAGCATAGGCCTGGATTGTTGATCATCTGTTGATCACCTCCATGTCAGTGTATTGTGTTATATATAATCATACACTATACATACATACATATACTTGTATTGTATATAATCTGTATACACTGACATACATGTATTGTGTTATACATACATACATACATACATACATACATACATCAGTGGTATATACTTATAGCATAGGCCTGGATTGTTGATCATCTGTTGATCACCTGCATGTCAGTGTATTGTGTTGTATATAATCTGTATACACTGAATACATGTATACACCAAGGATGCATCCAACTTTTCACAAAAAATGGGCCAATTAGCCCAATGATTTCAGAACGTGAGTCAGCACATATCTGAACAAGGGCCAGTGTGTTTTACGGTTTTTAACAAGTTTATGACCTCACTATCTGAGTATTCCAGAAGAAGCAGCTAATCATGTGACTATTAAGGCAGTAACAATTCACACGCATATTCGGTAAATAAAACCATAGCCCTTCATGAATTCAATTCGTTATTCGTGGTCACCAGAACCGAACATTAACAAATATTTACGATTTTTTTAAGGGAGCATGTTTGACTTGAACCCTGATGTCCTTCTCCAAAGTGAGATATGCAAGGATTAAGTATGTACTAGCATTGCAGTAGCGCAAGTCATGTTAGTCTGCCAAGGCCACGCACGGTACTGTCGACTAGAAGTATTCTGAGTGTCATGAGATCACTGGTTATTGCTGTGACAAATCAAAACTGTCAACATGGGCGTTCCATATTGTATATCAATCACTTAACAATAATATTGTATTCGTGAATAATTATTCGTATTCATTACCCAATATTCATCATACGTATCATATTCGCCACATAGTGTATTCGTTTAAGCCCTAGTGACTATGCTCACAAATTCCAAGAAAGCAATCTGTATATTTAACTGTGATAAAAGATACCTCTTAATGGGATATTACGACGATTTAAGTGTTGATAGTTTTTGTTCAAGATACAAGTTACAGTATATGATTTACATGGTCATTATTTAAACATTGCTCATACTGATATTTTGGGTTAAATCATATTTCAATTATATCAGGTCAACAAATTGGACCAATTCAACTTTATTAGTGTGAAATTTGGCGCACTGACTTTTCAATCTGTGGAAGTAATGAGACAACTGCGTGTTCCCCGCAATCCCACAGCCTAATTATACATCCCTGATACACTGTATAAGTTGAATATTAAGCCGCGTGCCACTAAACGATCATAGCACTACCAATGTCATACTGGTTTAAAGCCTGTCAAGATATGCGAGTTGCAGTGTTCAGTGTTCAAAGATCTTAGCTTGTAGAACGGGGCCCTGTAGCAGTGCATGCTTGCATGAGGACCTTTATCAACTGTATAGTGTATATAGGTCATGTAATCAATATACACAAATATTCTCTATATAAACCAGTACAGTACACCATCTGCATACATCCTGCATAAATCAGCCAGAATAGTAAATTTCTGAAAATCAATATTCATACTAGAATGATTTTTTAAAGCTAATCATTATATATTTAGTTTGTTGTTTACTTAAACTTCTTAAAGCTGCAATCAGCAACGACACAGCCTGCGGATTGCAAGTTGCAACCTGTTGATTATCTAACGGCCAGAGTTGCGGGGAACGGACAAAATCCCACCTGGACAAAATCCCATAGGACAAAATTTCCTTGGACAAAATCCCACACCAAAATAGCCAACATAGGATGGGTACATAACAATTGTTGGGTTTGTGTGTTGTTTAATGCAGCATTCAGAATAACGGTTACATCAGCAGGAAACAGTTGTTTTAATTCGTTAATGTGTTACAGTGTACTTGTAATACAGTATTAAAATGACATCACTTGAAAAGTCTTGCTAAATATAGGGCCTTCTTGAGGCAAATCACTGGTCACTAAATTAGGGCCTTTTAAAGGCTCTCAGTGGCTGTCACTGTACACTGAAATATACGACACTCACGGACATGACTGAATCAACACCTATTTCCTGTTATTGACACTGCATGAACAGTGAATCCTGACTGAGTCACTGCACATCAAGATACATGTTACATGTTTTCATTCAGTATACATGTGCGATGGGTGCCTTTAAAACAAACTTAGTGTTATGTAAGGCTGGCTAAAAAGATCGATAAAAGTAAATATCATTGATGAAAAGAATTATTAACTATTATCGATATGAAAACTGTGGCATCGATAATATCTTACAAAAATGTTTGTGATGGAATATAGTTTTAGTCTACTCACACTGTGACAACACACAAAATTCTGTCTTTATTCATGGGTTGCTTCTAAATTATGTTGAGGACATTGTTTTGCTAGTCATCCATGCATAAACATCATCAGTCACCGCTCATCAGTGAAATATGTTGATTTCTTTCAATTTGAAAGTATTTTGGCTCAAAATTACTTCTCTGATATTTTTTGATAATGGATCAATATTTAGTTAACAATTATTGATCTCTATAATCTAAATCGATATCCAGCCTTAGTGTTAAGAATGAATGAATGAGTATGTTTTATATATGCTGCTTTTAGCAATATTCCAGCAATATCATGCTGGGGACAACACAAATGGGCTTCACATGTTGTACCCATGTTGGGAATCGAACCAGGGTCTTCAATATAACGTGCAAATACTTTCACCACAGGGTTACCCCATTGCCCCCTTAGAGCTTAATAATGACAGTCATAAGTCTGTTAAAGTAAGGGAATTATGGTTACCTTCGCATTAATATCACTTTGTACAAAATACTACAATAGCACCCTGGGTACAGAAATGACTTCTTAAAGATTTGGTGTTATTATGTCCATTATGAGATCATCATCAAATGGCATAATATCCACTACTATTAGGGTAATGGTTGGTTTTATCGGTTTGTTGTTGAACGCAGCACTCAGCAATATTACAGCTATGTGGCTGCGATCTGTAAATAATCGAGTCAAACAATCCAGTGATCAACAGCACGAGCATCGATCTACCCAATTGGGATATGATGATATGTGTCAACCAAGTCAGCGGGCCAGACCACCCAATACCAATACTGCATCCTCAAACGTCAAGCATGGGTTGCTGAAGATCAGTTCATGAAAAGCAACAGGTAACCATACTGACCTCATATATATACTAACTGATATATCAACAGAACAATTATTGACATCTCAGCCCATTTATATGCAGAGACGTCATAACAGCAGGCATCAATTTTACATCAATATTGATATCACTGACAATATGGACAAAGCTCAATAGAAAATAAGAACCATCAATATTGACATATGTCACCATTGAGCCAGAGCAAAGTGCAAAGGTCTAAGGATCATATTCCCATCAATCTTCAATATTCAACATTTAGAACAATTTCTGCATATTTTAACATACATCTTAACTGAATTAAGCTTGTTCAAGGTGCTGTTCCGAGTTTCACAGAGCCACACCAGTAGAGTAGAACACTGGTCTGTCATCTAGTGAGAGGGGCGGTAGGGTAGCCTAGTGGTTAAAGTGTTAACCGCTCGTCGTACCGAAGACCCAGGTTCGATTCCCCACATGGGTACAATGTCTGAAGCCCATTTCTGGTGTCCCAAGCCGTGATGTTGCTAAAAGCGGAGTGAGTGAGTGAGTAAGTGTGTGAGTGAGCCAGCGAGCAGCAATATTTTAGAGCGTGAGTGAGCGAGCTGGATTTATGCCTCTTATTGCAATATTTCAGCAAGATCACGAGGGGTGCACATC